AGGATAAGCTCTTTGCTGAGGAGCAGATCCTCGTCTATCTCAGCACTGCTCTGGATGGCACCTACCTGATCCAGGAGAACCTGTATTGGCCGTTCTGTCTCAGGGACTCGTAAGTTTGATTGTTTGATCATTAATGTGTGATGATGATGGGAGCTAACTAGTTAATAGCACCACTGGAACCTTCTGCTTGACAGACACCAACCTTCCCGAGTGGCCGACTCTCGCAGCCGCCAACGACGCCTCCGCCGTGAATGCCTTCTGCGGTAGCGACTGCCGCATGCAGGAGTCGTTCCTCATGAACCTCTACTACAATGACTATGACCTCGTCGATGCCGAAGCCGTGTGCTCAGGCCTCAACGTCTCCTCGCTCCCCATGAGTGTCAATATGGAGACTGCCTTTGGGTCCGTACCTTCTTCGCAGGAAGGTGTCGTTGGTAAGAATACTGGTGGGAAGATCCTTGGCGGGGATTACAGCTGGGAGTTCCTCATGAAGGGTGCTAGCAATGCGAATTCTGCAGTGGGCTCTGCAGCGGGCTCTGCAGCGGGCTCTGCAGCGGCTGGAGGCGAGGCGAAGGGGGTAGCAATGAAGGCCGAGGTTTCGGGGGTCTTGTTTTTCTTGGCTGTTGCGGGTGCGGGTGTGTTGTTGATGTAGAGTGTGCATTTCTACATTCTTTAGGCAACTATTTTCTTTTGTAGAGTCATAAAATGGAGTTTTGGGGTCTTAGGTTTTTTAGTTTCTACAATTCAGTAATATACTCTAATGTCAATCAACTTCTGAATAACAAAGTCATCGAATTTATCTGTGGTATGATCGGACAGGACATATGAAAATCAACACCACAGGTATCGTACCAAGAAGTAAGAAAGAAAAAAAAAAGCTTGAAAGCTCAAAATCCCTCGATCCAGATGTCAATGATCAAGAAAACAGGATATTGTTCCATCAAGTGTAGTGAAATGGGTGGTCAAGCAATACATCCTAATGGCGCATAAATCTTTGTAGAGAGATTCGAAAGGCCAGTATGGACGTAAAACAAGATGGTGACACTTTTTTCTTAAGGCTGGAGTCGAGAAGGGCATCACTCATGGGTGCATACCACGTTTCAGACGACTGTACCTTGGCGCCGCAGAACATGAGCGAGTAATGTATGAAGTGATAGACTGCACGTCAATAGGTATTACCTTTATGCAGGTACTCTACTCTACTGACGAAAAGTAATGTTTTTCAATTCGGTCGGTAGTCCTGTTTGAAATCCTGTAAGCCTAACTGGATGTACATAAGTAGTTAGTAGATCTGAACAGATTGGCCAGATGAGTACCGAATATTATATTTAGCATTAGTTGGTTACCCAGATTAAGACAATATTGATAAGGTCTACTACATCTAGTTAGGAGCAGGGCTGCTTAGGGGATAGCTGATTCTTTCGCGTGGGATGAGGGGTATTTGGGATGGGTGGGGTAGGTACATTGGGGAAGAAGGTTTTGGCGGTTGGGAGCTGCCAAGGTGAGGGGAGGAAATGATTGGAATATATAATAACCGTGTACCAAGCCGTAGGGGGGAATCATTATGAATTATTCCAACCAAAATGTCGGGACCGGGCTAGTACCTCCTTATAATGTAGGTTACCTTAATAGATGACATACTTACATAGCAAGACTTGACTGTAGCAGGTGGCCCTAGAGGACAAAGTACTGGATAGCTCATCCCCGGAGGCAGGATACTGTTTTCATCTCCGCGAAGTGGGATATGATATCCTGCAGTAGAGGGATGACCAATCCTCTCAGGTAGGATGTGATATCTTAACTATTGGGTACTACCCTTCGATTTGCTGGATGAGATATCCTTTTTCACCGGGATATGATAAGATATCCTTATCTAAGGATTGGGGGTGGGCATGTTCTGACTGGTAGGGGATACCCTACCCTTCGAAGGGGATAACATCAAGAACTTAGGTTTAAAAAAATGGAGCTTAGGGGAATTGAACTTACACCTTGCCGATTAGGTATAGCAGATGCTACTAACTATACTATTGGTTCAGATACAAATCTAGTACAAATTGTCGCTATCAGCCTCAGGTTTAAAAATTCGACAGCCAAAAAAAAATCAGATTTATCTAAGTCCAAAACTACTAGGGAAGCGAAATACTACTAGCAGGAGAACACTTTATTCTGTTTGAAAATTCGTATCCTTCTGAGAGGATATAAGATTATATCCACAGGAAAAGATAAGCTATCCCTGAATACAGTATCCTATGGTAAAGATATGTATCCCCTCTACAAGATGAGCTGAAAAATATATCCCTCGGCGGAGATAGTTTATCCAAATAAGAGCGAAATCTCCTATTTTAGCTACTTGATGTTTGGGGATCCCAAAACGCCCAAATGTCTCAAACTTATCCTCCCACGGGATAACCTATCCCGATTTTCGGGATATGCTATCCCGATTCCTAAGAAAGTTTGTACCCTAGGGGTGGGTCATGCTCATGGACTAAGTTCTTTATCTTACTTAATTGCGCTAGTATTGATTTACACAACCCATATATTATGTAGGTGGTAGTACTAGTAGCTATTAAATAATCAACTACAACTACAGAAATTTCCTCTACTGCATATCCTCCAACGTCGGCAGCATCCTCTCATACATGATATCTGTCCTCATCGTATACTTGGTCCCCGCCGTCACCGGCTCCCCCGAATGGATCAACCCCTGGTGCTGAAATATCAAGACTCTACCCATCTTTGGTTCGATATCCAGACATTCTGAATCTATGTCTAGGCTCCGGGATAGGTAGTTGTATGGCAGAAAACGCGTAGAGCCACCTTTGACGTCTTCCTCGGTATCGCCTGAGGAGTTGAGGTATAGGTGTAGGGTTAGGAAGGAGCGTTCCTTATCGTCGGGGGTGGCATAGGATCCGTCGCCGTGGGCTGTGAGAGTGTTAGTATAAATTCTTTAGTGGGATAGTTAGTGATATCTTACGCTTAAAGTACTGATCCTTGGTATATCTCAAAAACCGAAGTCTCTCATTAAGTCTACTCACCCAATTAGCCAAACCTTCTCATTGACCTCTAACTCTCAGCACATCTCAGAACAGTCTATACATACCTTGTCATCTTCCACTTATAATTAAACCTCCCTGCATACGACGCAATATCCCACTCCGTCCCCTTCCCCACCTCCACCACCTCATCCAGATACGGCCTCACCCGCCCATATATCAGCTCGGCCAGCTCGAAATCGTCAATCATGACTCTAGTGCAGTCGCGAATATCCTTCCTCAGCACCTGGCTATAGCCCGAATTGATCAGCGCCTCCTTCCACCCGCCGCCCGTCAGCGCTGCGAACTGTAGCATTTTTTGGCACTCGGCGGGCGTGAAGAGGTCATCGATCACGAGTGCATAGCTCGCCTGCTTGCCGTAAGACTTTGCGAGGGGTGTGGTCGAGAAATCAATTCGCTCGGCGCGGGCGCCGGCGGGGGCAGTGGGGGTGGAGAGGAGGTCTGTTTTGAGGGTTTGGGCATCCATGGTTAACTGAGCAGCTTGTAGGGTGGTTTTGTGTGGATATAAGGTTTATTGGGGAAGCTTATCTTGAGGCCTATGGGGGGGAGTCTTTATAGATGGGCTCGGGCATCGCGGCAGTGCTGGGCCTGGTACTTGCAGGGCTGCTAGCTGCATGGTGAGGCTGAGTCTGATTCATATGTTTTTGTTGATCACTAATTTAAACACATTTACGAATAGTACGAGTGCTGCAAATAGGAAGCTCGTCATTGATAAAGGGCTCATAGCTCATAACTACTCCAGGCGCATGTCTAGTTAGCTAGAGCCAGGCGCCCGATAATTCCGTTCACTGTGAACAAGACAAGTATCCTGAATGGTCAATGACTCCAACACCGCCTTGACGTGCGCTAGTAGGCCATGGACTGATGTTGGATTAGGGTTAGGCTCGCCTATTCACCCCTGCACGCATGGGACTAGGTTAGGGTTCCTTCGATTCGAGTCATGTCCCGACAGGGTTACTGCATCGAGGATCATTGGTCGGGTGAAGCAGCCAATCGATCATTTCCACGCCTTGATCTTGGGACAACCCTAGCTTCTCACGAGTCTGCTGCCTTGCAGGGCGGGGCGTTCGCTACCGCCCTTTGCAGCTTGCAGGGTCTATCCGCAGACTATGCCAAATGTGTGCGATATTGGGTTAGGGTTTGGGTGTTTGTTGGCCTTTTCCACGTCGTTTCAGGATGAAATTTTTATTTGGTTTCGTGGTTTCATTTCAAGACATAAAAGTTATGTACGTATGAGTATTAGCACAAAAGAACGTGATGGTCATTTCATCCACTCCCTCACTCTCTCCCGCACTCATTTAGGATTAACCTCAGCCCAGCCCTCCTCGCATGCTGCTTTATTACAGGCAAAGGAAAGAAAAACGGAAAAGAGACATAAACCAAACCAAAATCACCCCGCTCTTCCTACCACAAGATAGAGGGTCAAGAAAAGATGGGTTGTAAAAGAAAGCCCTTAAATATTGTAGATCCTCCTCCGGTTCGGACCACTCCACCCCTCCAAGAGCTAAAATAGGCAGCTCAATAATGACCGCGAGTGAATAGAAAGAAATGGTTACCACGATTAAGATGATGACCCCCAAAGGAAAGCGCATCTTTTTGGATACAAATACACCCTCTTAGAAAGACTCAATACAACAAAAGACCAAGGGTTGCAGAGTTGCCGGATAACAAAGGATAAGAGCATCGGGTACAGGAGTGGACTGACAAGATAGCAACATAAATCTTTAATTTTTCAGGCCTGATACCTCTTTTTAAAAAAAATAAAAGGAAAGGAAAAAAGTTGGAGAAAAAAGTTGGAGAAAAAAGAGAAAAAAGAACGCCCATCCAATTCAAATCCACTGTATCAGCTTCAAGTAAAGAAAGGGTGTTAAAAAAAAGAGAAGTTTGACTGATGATTCGAATTTATAAGGGCGAGATGCTAAAACAAAAAAGAGCGTGTATTCAAGCTCAAGATCCTCCCATCTGCCTTTCAATTATCTTCGCGAGAGCATCTGGGTCGTTCTGTATCTCAGGGTTTTCAACAAGAATCTTGTTGATCATCATAAGCTGATTGGCATCCATGTCTGGGAAGATTTGAACAAGATTCTGGGTCATTTCCGCCAATGGTACAGGGAGCGATCCTGGGGCCGGAGAGGGCGTAGGATGTGCATTGTGGCCAGAATTCGGAGGATACGATCCTCCATTGTACGTAGTGACGTATTGTTGCTGATGAGCATTGGGACCCTGATAGGCAAAGTTATGTTGCTGCGCCTGTTGAGGAGGTGTATACGGCGTTCCTTGATGGTGCATACCTGACGGGGTCGGCGCGATCGGCGTATATGGGGGTGCAGCATCTGAAGCACGATGGCGCATTTGTGTATAAGGAGACATGGATGCAGAGGCATGCGTTGGGGTCGCTGATGGTAGGCCCACGAGGTTTCGAATAACGACAAATATGACGATTAGGAGCTTTCCCTGGCGCCCGTTCTGGGGGATACTTGAGGCCGGGTCTAATACGTTGAACCAATCTGGGAGACTGTCCTTCTCGTCGACGGGAACAATATAGAGATCCTTAATGCACTTTTGCAAATGCTTCCCAACAACTGCATACCTATCCCTCTCCTTGAAATAATCGAAAAGCTTTTTGAACTCTGTTTGGGCCATGCTATCTGTGGGAGTGAGAGAAACCATAACAAGAGAGCTACTTTTCGAAAACTTCTGTCCGCATAGATATTCTGTTGCACGATCATGCTTGATGCGGCCATCAATGTGCAGAACATCGGTCAACAGATCAGACCATTTAGTGTTTGCAACATACTCTGGACCTCCGACTAGTGCAGCTGTAGCAGATAGACTTGCAATTCCATTCATTTCTACGCGTCCTTTCCATTCATCCTCCTCCTCTTCGTGGCGTGGGGAGTAATGGTCATCATCTGACATGGCACTTGCTGGGGAGTAGGGTGGTGTGGCATCACCATCATCATCTTTAAGAAGCATATCAATGTCCTTATCAATCTTGGGGTCTGTATCACGGGCTGTGGCTGGAACCGCTGGCCTCATAGCCCTAGGAATACGGTTCGTGTCCGGTGCTTCAATGTGATCCCAAACATTCTCGATGCTGAAATTTCGTCCCCTTTCGGGTTTAGCATCCGCAACGGGAGGTCTGGATGGAGATCTCAAAACCTCATCATGATTCTCGGGTGCGGTGACTGGGCTCTCAGTAATTTCAACGGCAATAGAGGGCGATTTGTCGGCCATAGAGACTGTTGGTTCATCGGTGGAATCTGACCTACGTATGATGCCGCCGGGTGGAACAAGGCTATCCACGTCTTGATCCGTTGGTTCGTTGTCCTCGACTTCACCAACCAATTCCTCGCCTTTATGTGTCCTCCGGATTCGAGGTCCAGTTTCCGTAATCAAAGTGTTATGCTTCTCTGATTCTAGACGTATCTTCTGCATTAACTCCTTTAACTCCTTCGACGCCATCTCATCTGTTGTCATGTGCGCCAGTCTAGAGGGCTCCAAATTCTCCTTCAACAGTTCTTCGCTCAATGAAGGATTGGCGCGGAGGTTGTATGCAACGCTCCTTACTTTCTTGGTGTATTCAGGAGGCAATTCGCCCCCTTTGAAGAACAATAGATAAACATGGTGCTCCACTTGTAATGCAAGTCTTTCGCAGAGTTTATTGATTGTTTGGCCTTCAGCCAAGATCAGTTCGTTTTCAGAGACGAGGGGACTGGCACGCTCAATGAGTGGCGTCATCAGGAAGTTCGCAACCTTCCGACGGCCCTCGTTTCGAAGTTCGTCAATAGTCTCCACAAGCTCTTTCTGAGGTGTATTATCCTCCGTTTTCTGCCTTTTGATTGGCGGTTTTGCTATGGAGGCTCTTCTGGGCGACGGCTTCACATCCTTGGGGCTGGCATCTACTGCGATTGCCGATACGCGGCGTATTCTCTTGTGCGGTTCCTGGAAAGATTTTTTAGTAATAAATACGTGTGTCGGGTCATGAATATATACCTCGTCTTCATGCTTGTATTCTCCATCGGAATCGCCCGTAGGCTTTCGCTTGAGTGACTTTATTGATCGAGTAGAGTCGCGTCGATTATCTCTCCTGTTCGGCTCTTCTTTTGTAGCGGAAATCGGGGTCTGTGGAGTCTAGAAAATTTAAGATATTAGTCTCTTGTGTAAAAAAACGCCCACTGGGATCTTACCTGAGGCTCCAGCGAATCCTCTATCACTTCTTTCACAACCCCATTCCCATTACTCTCAATGGTGTCTTTGGCAGGAGATAATTCCATGGACACTGTCCTCTCGCGATCTTCTGTCTCTTCTTGCTCCTCCGGCTTTTCTTGCGCCACTGGCTTTTCTACCGTCTCTAGTTTATCTGGCTCCTCTGGCTCCTCCTCTGGCTTATCCGGTTCCTCCTCTGGTTGTTCCGGCTGCTCTTCCTCTGGCTCTTCTTCTTCTGGGTCTTCCTCTACTTTCTCTAAATCCTCTGGAGGTTTGTTTGGGATGTCTTCCTGCGCACTTTGCGAAATGTCGATATCCATTGGGTCATCCTGTTCTACAACCGGAGAAGGGCTTCGTCTCGGCATCTCCATCTCCGCTACAACCTGCTGCTTCTTCTTCCTCCTTTGTACCGGTTTCTTTGGCACAGGTGTATCACTTGGCGCAGGCAATTCCGGAAACTCTGAGGCCGGGGCAACTTCACTTTTGGTGGGAGTTGGTTCATTTTTAAAATTCCTAGCTGGCGTTGAATCTTGTTTCTGGCCTCTGGCCGGTGTTGAATCTTTCTTTCCCTTTCTCCTTGCAGTTGGCTTCTTTTCCCAGGGCTTTTCTCCCTTCTCCAATTGATTCAAAAGGACTTGGTGATTCTCCGGTCTGCAGACCTCGCAAAAGTATTGCTTTGGGATTTTCTTCTTGGGAATCCCCATGCACTGGGTATGCTGCCACGCTTCACACCCTTCGCACTGGATCATCATCCTCGAGTCATCCTCATCCTCCTCCTTTGCTCCACAGACACACCGAATGATATCATCAGGCGAGCCGTTGGTATTCTCCTCCTCCACAGTCTGCGACCTGTCAGGTGAGGCTCGTTCTTTCGCGGGGGTCTTCTTTTTCGCTTTCGACGCTTGGCCTGAAGCGGGCGCTGGCGACGCGCTTTCGAGCCCGATATCAGAGAGGCGGTTGTTGACACCCTTCGTAGAACGAACGCTACGTCGTGGCTCTGTCAAAAGCGCGCCAGTTAGCCATGTACATGTCTTTAATTGCGTGATTTGTGTGGGGAAAGAGATAGATAGATCTGATGGGAAGCCTGAGTCGGCGGGGAGAGGGAAGTTGTTTGACGGAGGCTTACCAGCCATGATCGATTTTTTATATTTATTTACCGGAGGGCAATACTAAATCGGCTTGCTTTTCTCTTCTCTTCCCTGAAGATATTTTGTCTAACGGTGGAGTTTGTTGTTGGTGATGGCCCAACGGCCAAATTTTTACACGAACCAGGCTAGCGCGCGATATGGAACCCTCGGATGCAGTGGGATGGCAGAAAGTGCATACACAGTTCAAGGAATACGAATCGGAGGAGGGGGAGGGGAGAATAAAGGAGCAGAGTCTAGGGTTTTCTTTCAAGTCGGGCGGTGTAGTCAGGCAATACCCAGCAGTTCTGTGCCTCGTCTTCTCGCCTCGTTCTCACGGTGGTCTCTCACAAGAAATCTTGACTTCTTCTTTCTCCCCGTGGTCTCGTGACAGACGACCAGCCTCTCCTTTTTTCTTGGTATCTTTATCACGAAATGCTGGCAGCGTGTTCCGTCTGTCTGTTCCTATGACGACACTTTTCTGGGCTTACTCTCACAGGCAATGATTTCGGAAACTTCTTCACTTGTAGATGTTGTTATGATAGGCCGTGAAGTTTTGGGCGACGGGGGAAGTTGAGGTGGGGGAGGGGGAGGGAAAAGCGGAGGAGATGACAGAACGTCGAGGCGGCGATCAAACGAAAAGGAAGGACGATGATGAAAGAAACAAGAGCACTGTCTCGGCAGCTCGCTCTCTACGCGCTCCCTGCGTATACTAGAGCACACGTCACGAGAGGCTGATTGTGGTGTGACCCGACATGCTTGGCGATGTGCTGCCCCTTCGAAATTCCATAGCCTGGTTGGATACATCCATACCTTGCGGTGAACTCCAGCACTCGTCAACCATCTCATAGTATTTCAAACATTCCTACGCATACCAACCGCTATTTCCACAGCATAATACACTGTTCTTGCTCTCTCTTCTAGTCTAATCCTCGTACCTTCTTACCCACAAAGCATTTGAAACTTCACAATGGCCGATGTACGCAAACTCCTCCAAGCGGAACGCCGACTCCGGGAAACAGCCAAATCCAAGCCCGATCGGCCAGTGCCAGGCAATTCCCGCGCCTCAACGAAACGATCCCTTACTGAGCTTGATGAAGCTGTAGCAGAAGCCACAAAACGACCAAGAACCACAAAACCCTCCAACACGACTTTCTACGATGCAGATGGTACAGAGGCAGTTAAAACAGCTAGGGGTGACAACACATCCCCACAGAATCAAAAGGAAACTGCAGTTGTAGAAAGGGACGACGCGTCTATGGCAGGGGCGTCGGACACTAAAGTCAACTCGTCAACACTGCCGTCAGGCTTCTTTGGAGCAGGATCGGCGGTACCGAGTAACGCACAGGTCGAGGTGGATGAGGATGAGTGGGCCGCCTTTCAAGCTGATGTAGTGGAACCTGTCGCGCCCGTAACGTCCTCAGTCATGGTCATTGAGGCGGCGCCGACAACAAACAATCCTGCGGCAGCTGCTCCTGACGAACAGGACGTTGTGGATGACTACGCCAGGGGAGAGGAAGAAGACGCAAAGCAGAAGCTTCTAGATGAGTTTGAAGAGATGGAAGGGCTGGAGCAGCGGGTACTGCGTCTGAAGGAGAGACGAGAAGCGCTGAAGAATAAAACTCCCGTAGGGATGGAGTTGGCGGTAGATCAGGACGATCCAAGCGCCGAAGAAGATGATGATGATGATGATGAAGAGGGCGACGACGAAGATGATTTCTTCCGGGTTAGAGGATCATAGGTTATATATGTAATCTGTGGAAAAGCCGTTCATTTTTTCTTTCTTTTCTTTCTTCTCCCTGGGGTGGGATAATGGAACGGATCTCCTCCCCGTTCCGTTGTTTACCAAGATATCCTTTGTTCCTGTAATAATAGCATATTGTAAAATATAGCAAGTCTCGTTAGTCGGCGGATATGCAATACCTAATATTGTTGAGAGATACGAGCGATATCAAGAGTTCACTTTGTATCAAATTCAACTCTCGGGATAAATTTTAGAACACGAATGATTACAGTTTAACAACGATCCATGCTAGAGGTTGCCAAGCAAAACCAATGATGAGACAAGACACTGTCAAGAAAACGTGCAGATCATGTTGGTTGTCACCAATAAACGTATGTAACCCTTATGTACTGGGCGGATAATACCGGACAAGATCGAGATGATTGATTTTCATTTCCTTGTGTCCGCAAGATAAACATCTTGATGTAGGCACCCCGTCGATAGACTACATGTAGTAGGTAGGTGGCTGCCTCGGTCATATTAAGCTTCAATGTTTGGGCCTCTTTCGAAGTCTTATCTACACACGATGCACCCCAGGCAGGCCGGCACAGTTCAATCCAGTGCGATGATAACAACAGGTAGATAAAGGCTTATCCAATGTTGACTAAACAACAAAGTCCGACCCCGAAATCGGATTTTCTTCCTGATTTACCACGGACATGGCACTTCGATCCATTATATCCCTTAAGCTCCCCGGATTCCCAGGTTATCATGTAACTGGTAGGTATTGCATGCTCCACCGTGTCAGGTATGGTGCGCGCACCACTCTTGGCCCAAGCTTTGGCAGGTTTGGTTGAAATGATTCCCTGTCTGTCAAGTTGTCCTGATCAGGCCAATAGAAGGTTAAGACACTGAATACGAGAGGTGCTAAGAAGCTAGAGACCCCAACTACTGCTCCGTCCAATTTACCGATCGATGTAGGCGCTGCATGTGAAGCGAGTGATCACCCATGATCCCTCGCGAAGCACACCGGTCTTGGCGATCTCCCTAGAGTAACTGCAGGAACCCTTACAACCCCATGGCGGATCAATAAATCTTGGCTCTCTCAACCTGCAGCTCACCGGGAACGGCGGGTTTATTGCCCCCTCTTTTTTTTTTTTTTTTTTTGCTTCCTTCACTCCCCTTGCTGACGACGACCTATACCCAGCGATCACCACGTAACCTACAGAAGATCAAGTTGTAGAACATATCAGTCTCGAACTGGTGATTGCCATTTGTTTACCCCGCACGGGAGCAAGTGAGGATGGCGGACACTGTAGCTGCTTCAAGATGAGATAGATAAGACATCTTTCAGACGCTGGTACAGGCGTAAAATCTCGATGGAGCTTGATAAACAGCAGCAGCAGCATTTTACAAAAAAAGAAAAATATTACATAAACGATGGGAATTTATGGGGATTTCTAACCAGGTGAATGGTACACAACCTGGTGGTGGTATATTGAGATATATGTATTTTTATATTCCGATAGCAGCAATCGATGCTGCATGGAGGGGGTATTTTGATGTGTGTAACGTCTCGAGCTCTCATGATTTATGTGGCTTTAGCTTTGTATAACTGTTTGGGCTAGGGAAACAGGATATAAATTGTCACTATAACTGTGGATCTTTTAACTTTCAGAACTCTCAAGTGATCCAATTCCACAACTGACGATAGAGCTGAAATGAGTGATCCTACAACCGCCAAGTTTTCCATATCGATCACTCGCAAGTATAAACTAACTTATGTAGAACATTGAGCCTATCTTATAGACCCGCCATTCGCGAGAAAATGGCGTCTCGATATCGACTTAAGCCCATGGCTATGGGAGAATCCAAGAGCGCGCACATACATATGTAAATTTAAGCACCCCGAGGACATACTCAGGAGTTTACCGTGGGCCACGCTACTGTATGAAATCGATTCGGATAAACTGCTTATGCAGTCAGATCTAACAAGAAAAACGGACTGAGCTCTTCATATTTCTTTTTTTTTTTACTGCCCCATATTTGAGGAAGTCAACCATTGGGTACAAGTGCTGCATTTTTTAGCTTTGAAGGTTTGAGCATTCACTACCAACCAGATATCAATATCAAGCTGGGCATGTCTTGTGGCCCATTGTTTCGGAACATTAGACCCCTCTAATCACTGTCTAGGAGCAAATAGAAAATAGACGCTGTGGACCGTTTGTCCCTAGCACAACTTATTTTACCCTCTTTAGCCTTGAGTCTGCCGGTCTGTCTAACTGTGTTGCAATCGATTTTCACAGTGGCACTGTACGTTATGTACGGGCTTCCCTCCCGGGATTAGTCGGAAAGATGCTTGATTGGGACACAGGCGAGTGGGAACCGAAAAGGCGAAGGACAAGGAAACAAAACAATATGCGTGCTTGACGGTACGGGTACAGGGTGGGATTCTAGTTACCCGTTGAAGGCGAGAAAACAAGCGAAGTGGTTGTGGCCAGGGTCTGGTGTAGGTTCAACACTATCATCAGAGATCGTAGGGCAGAGACACAGCCCCCTTTGCATTCAAGACCCTGATACTTAGGGTCCTAAGTCTGTGCACCCACATTGGCAATCACCCTTACTAGGGCAGTTTGATATTTGACTTTTGGTTTTTATTTTGTTCCTATTCGTTCCTTACTGGCTGGTTTCCTGTCCCGGACAAGACAACCTGGATGACAACCGATTAGACTGCGGGCCACGAAAGAAACGATGGAGAGATAATGAGAAAATCACATCCCATATGTATCCGTAAAAAGAAGGGGATATCTGGGTGCTCTACTCTACAATGGATTCTTGCACGTGTACCGTACGTTTAATTCCCCCTCTCTTCTTGCCCAATGGATTCGACCTCCAGGCCACCCCATAAAGCCCCCTCTCCTTTCTTGACACCTCCGTTGCCATTTTGAATTTCAAGCCCTGATCAGATCACCCTGAACTTATTTTCCGTGATTCTTGCCGTTAGTGGTACCGATGATTCTTCCAAATTCCCTGTATTCCTCTAAACCAATCAGAGATTAACCCCCCCCCGCAAAAGGTCTATGCCTTTCTCTCAAACACCACCAAATCCAATATAGCTACCCCGCTCCGAAAGAAAAAAAAGGTAGAAAAGATACAAAAAACCGAAACCCAAACCACCTCTATAGTCTTTAAATTTCCCCATGTAGAAGTCCTTGTAGGAAACATAACTACGGACATCGAAAAGAGAAAAAGAAAAGAGAAAAAAAAGCACCCATACAGGCACAATAAACATTGAGCCTGCCAGGTAGGAAGAAAAAGAAAAGAAGAATATGTAAAATAACAGAAAAACCCTTAAAAACAAGAATATTCGACAACTCAAAATGGCCAATAAGAAGACAAAATCTTTGTTTCCTTTTACAAAATACCCCCCTCGCCCCGCTATCGAACAGTTAAGCTTTATCGATAGCTCAATTCTTCTCCATACATATAAACGAAATAGATAAATATAAAGGAAATCATTAGCTAGTCCATGATTGGTCAACCGGTGGAGGGGGTCCAGTTTGTGCGCTGCCCGGCCACGGTGCCATCCACAGAAATTCACTCTCATCTATCGGAGCAATATTTGACGGAAGAACACTAAGTTCTGCCGTTTTTGTAACCATCATGTCCTTCGAGCTCAAAAAGCTATCACTGTAGCCCCCATATAATCCCATGTTTTGTGCTTCAGGTTCTAATACCCCATCGACACCAGCCCCCAAGCCTAATCCCGTGCTAAAAGAGTTTACTCGCGATGTCGGACCAAGAGCCAAGAGTTTCTCAACGTTCAAATCGTCGAAGCTAGTGTTTGCGACCATTCCAACTTGTTGTAGACCGATGAACGAGGAGGCCGCGCTTACACGATATCCGTCAGACTCGGCTTGATCTGAAGCGTCAGAGGATGAAGATCGAGTGACAGTTCCATTCCCATTCAAGGGGCTTGGCCCACCCACCGGACCAATGAAGTCATCAATTTCATCTCCAGAAACTGATCCTGCTGCCAGTCCTGTCTGAAAACGAAGAAACGATCCCATATCTATCTGTGATGTGTCGTAAGATGGGTCTAAAGGTGGATCTTCAAATGTAGGATCGAATTGGCCATATGCTGGAGGCCACCCCGCTGATTGTGGGGGGTACAAGCCAGCAGAAAATTGATAGCTGTCGGATTCTGCTGCTGACGGTAGAAGCTCTTGGCTTGGGAAATCTTGAAGGGTGAAAGGTGGATGATTTGTATTTACGACGAGCCCTGGTTGAATGCGGGATGAAGCAGGCTTTAATGCTTGCTGTGCCAACTGAGGGGTTAGCTCTAGGGGGGTGATGCTGGTAGTTGTCATTTGAAGAGCTGGGTATATTCGGAGGTCTGGTGATGATTGTTCGGATTTGATTCGTCGAGGTTTTTGTGATGCTACAGTCGAGGGCGCCGAAGCAGAGGCCGTTACCTTGGTGCATCCGTTGACGTGTTCTCCAAAGGCATGGCCAGTGTGCCCTACGGGTGGGATGGTGTATGGCGATGACCCATGTATACTTCCGTGGTGTTTGTGAGTTGGTCGGTGATGGCCATTGGCGAAAGTGGTGAGTGAACTTTCAGACTGGGTCATCTGTAGCCGAGGCTTTCGAACTTCCGGTGGGGTAGTGGAGGCGCAAGATTCTGATGCAGAAAGTTCAGGGACTGGGTCCAGATGTGGCTCTTTCTTTAGTGAGCAGGTACAACGTCCTCCATGGCAGCAGTTGCAAGACGCTCCATCTTATGGAAAAAAAAAGAAAGTTTAGTGATAACTCCAATGTAAACCACACATAGATAGAGTGCTCACTCTTTGCATCCCCATCCTCACTGGTAGCATGACATGCTCCGGCCGATGGGATGGGTTTCCCGCTCTTGGCCTGTTCTTTAAGAAACGCCAGTCGTTCACCACAGTCACACTTGACGTGAGCGGAACGGGATTTTCGCATGTGACGACAATGACTGCATTGAGATACTGGGCGTCCCTTCTTCGCGATCGGTAGGAGTTTACGATCTATCAAATCCCGAAAATTAGTTTCATCATTCCAGGATGCAGTTTGGGTGTCGGTGGGGTGGGTGGGTTGATGCGTGGATGGATGTATGGTTGTAAAAGACAAATGTTGAGGATGACCGTCAAAGCCATCACCCCTCTAAAGAAAATGGATCGGAGGTGGAGGTGGAGGTGGAGGTAGGAGGATTGGGAACTGACCCGAATGATTGCACCCGCTCACTCTGTGGCCTCTAATGCAGGCCTCGCAGGCCATTTTGACCCCATCTATAATCATCGTGAATGCAAATGGAAAGCCACTCGACGAGATAGTCGAGCGGGGTGAGATCGAATCTCAAAATGTGACGATAAATTTTTGGTTCTCCAGAAACGGCCACAGCAGGACCACTTTTCTGAAATCTATCTCGTCGAGCCCAGTCAAGACAGAGAAAGACGGAGAGAGATATGATACGGTGTAGGATTCTTTTTTAAACAAGGTAGAAAAGTATGTAGTCTGAAGAACAAAAAACTTGGAAAGTACTTTCGAGGATATCTTCGTCGCCGGAGAAGTATGGTTATAGCGACTGACTGACTGACTTTGACGCCCCGCTGAACAGTACTGAAAGCAAAACACCCCAAAACGCCGCCACACAAAAAAAACCAATTCAGCTGCTCTGTAGGTTGATGGCCCCTCGCCTTGCACGGGCCGTATTGGCGCCGGCTTCGAAAGCGTTCACGCGGACGTCCGAGTGGAACACCAAAATCCGTAGAGTTTCTCAGTATCCAAGGGGCGGAAAAGGTGTAGGAATGGGAAGAGAAGAGGAAAAGAGAAAAGAAGAGGAGGCCGGGAGCAGGGAGAAACGGGAGCTTTAACGGGAATCGCAAAAGGCGAAAGGGCAAGGATCGGTGAAGGGATGGTGGACTCAGATTGGCGGAGAGGCCGCGCTGGCAAGCCTTATGCTGACTGGACGGTGATGGTGCAGAAAGAAGCAACCTGATCCAGAAGCAGGAAGGGCCTCAAGATGGCAAAAGAACAGAACGGCCGTCTCTATCCACAGCTACTACCACTCACTACCAGTGTTACCACCACTCACAACCACCACCATTTCCATTCATTACCACCACTGCCATCACCTCCTCCACTCCTCCACCTCCTCCAGTCCAGTTCTAACAGACAGATCTGAGCCAAGGCCTTTCATATGTCCCTATGGAGGCCCCGGCAGGAAAGGCTGCGGCACGGCAGCAGCACCACTTCCACTCCTGTTCTTCACTGCCCGCTGTTACAGACCACCAGCTAGCAGAGCAAGGCAAAAACTGAAACGAAAGTAAAATGTTCCAAAAGTAGCAATATTATGGATCTTATGAACCCAGAAACCCAGACAAGGTGATTCATTCCAGATAAGGCAGGAATCACAGACCCCAACCAAACGTGGGATGGTGTCAAGAAACATACAGCCAACACGACGCGTGGGGGAAGGGTGGAAAAGAAAAGATGTACGAAAGGTGAGAGACGGGCTATTATGGACACCTCTGGATCCACGTTGGCCAATCAACGAGTAGCAACTGCTGTTTTTTTTCCGGTTACGACCACAAAAACGCATAACAACCCACGTCTGAGAAACCAAAGGAGAAAAAATAAAAAAAAAAGAGCACACGCAGAGACTTCTATTCGATGTTTACGCGACTGGGACGACGACGACGACAACGACAACAAGCTTGCTTTGTTTTGATCTCCGGTCAACAAATGGCGGGGCCATGCCTGGCGAAGACGGGGTATGGCTATGGTTCTGTTAAGAACCTTCCCAATCTAATCCCAAAAAGAACAATAACAACAACCACAATAGCAACCAGTGTCCGCTACTGATGTCAGGACTCAGGAACAAACATGCATCGACACTTCTGGTGATCATTGATGCACATTATACACCTGTCTCAATGGTCTCTCGTGTACCATTACTACGCGTATACGGTTCAGTGCCGATGTCTAGCCCTATCTATGAAAATTGGAGTAGCTGGTTCCTGCACCGGCATTCCCGCTGTGAAATGGGGTGACTTAGACTTTATTTTGCACAGCTATGTGTATCTGAGCTAAGTTGAGTACAGGCATGTAGGTACAAACTGCCTTGCCTCTGCTATCTTAAAGTGAAGGCAAAGACTGTTCTTTGCCATAATACTGGTTTGAAGCGAAAGCTCCGTTATGACGGAATACCCGTGGAGCATTTGCTTTACATACGTACACACATACATACATACATACACACCGTTGCACTGGTGTGATGGCGGTTGTTGGTGTTAAGAGGGCATGACAGTCCACCAAAGTCCACCAAAGTTGATCCGAAAGACGAGCGTGATGATGCCCCTCATTTTGAACTTTCTCGATCGTTGGGGGCCTCCGGACCCGTCGCCGGCTTCTCCCCTTGAAATTCCGGAATTGATTATTCCGAGCTAACTATCCATCGGGTTGGGTCACAAAAACCCTGGATGATTAACAACATTCAGGCTCTTCCTGGGTTGAAGTCGACGATGTAAATAGCCACTCCCCACAAATGCTTACAGCAGAGTACCTACAGGTGTTAAGCATTTCCTATTCGTTTCTACAAAAGGAGACCCCTCGAACAAAAACAGAAAGGGCTAGTTAGTAATAATGGGAATCTTAAGGCCAAATTTCCCCTCCCGGCTAAAATGTAAATCGCTTTAGCAATTCTCTGTTCAGATGATCCGTTTCACTCGGAAACATGTGGGTGCTCTTCTGGGAACCCTCGTCGTCTCGAGTTGGCCGTGGTCGGCCTCCAGCGGGGAAACGGCTTCTTAATGCTGACAGACCCCACTTTCCACGAAGGGCCTGGGTGAAGCGGAAAATTCTTTTGCTGGAGCTGGGTCATGAGGATGGAAATTATTCGCGGGTACAAGGAAGCGAGGATATGGAGACACGAGTGACCTGTCAGATATTCCCTGTTTAGGATAATGCATATCGGAATAGCGTTTACTTCGACACGGGGAAATCCATCGGTTTCTGACCTTCGTTAAAGAGGTAAAAGAGCTTAACCAAAAAACAGATCCTCCGAAATCTTCACTCAGGAGTAGTTATATGTAGTTTTTCGTTTCCTCACGGCCTTGAAATTAATACCGGAATTTCTATGGGCTCCGGAAGTCGGCAGTGGATTCATCCGGCTGACTGGCAGAAAATCCGGTAGGAAATACAACCTCCAATGATTCCCCTCCATCCCCGGCTTGGCGATTCGGTCCCAACCGACAAAGTTGGCCCGCAGTAGTTAGAACCTGTGAAATTACACTTAACCAGTACCTACTCGCATGGAGGTTAGATCAGGTGGTTGCTTGGTACAGATCGTCATACATAGCGTGTGTCGGTGATTCTCTTTTTTCCCCGCTACATGCCGGAGGCTGCTTTTTTTTTTTTTTTTTTCCCTTTCCTTTCGCGAATTGAGCCTCCCCGGAAGAACTCTTCTCCCAACCGTCGGCGGCCAGGATACAGAAGCTAAGCGGACCACAGTAATCATGTTGAGTAAAAGATCGACATACTGTATCGTGAGCTAAGGCCTCCCAGCCCTGAGGTTTGGCTGTTGACTTTTGATTTGCAGAAGCCATCTTCTGGCCGGGGAGCTGGAATCAGTCGCGAAAAGAGACGGTTTCAACTGGCGGGAAGCAAGAAGGGTACAGCCGATTTTTCACCGAGGTTAAGTCCCGTGTCTCGCACCACTGCGAAAACCTATTCGGTTTTAACTTGTTTCCTTGTCAGTCCTTTCTCGTGTAACCCAAAACAACGAGGAGTGCATATGTATGCGGACTGGATTTCATTTCCCCGTAGAGCTTTTTGTGAGGGGTGTTAAGCAGCATGCGAGTTACCCCGGACTTCTGGGGCGGGAGGGGAACTCGATCCGCCTATTGCAGAACCCATCATGGAAGCAGGAGTAATTGTTGAAGAAGAAGCAATTTTTGCGAGGGTACCTGCTGATGTTTGTTTATTGTCCTAGTGGTCAAGTATCTCGGTTAGTGAAGGCATGTTCTTTCTTTATTCTGCTGCTGCTTCTGCTTCTGCTTGGTGTTTCCTTTTTTCTTTCTCACACTGTGACCACTTGCCTTCCGAAGTACAGAGGACGTCAAAATAGTGGTACTGGGGAATACGGGGAAACCGGGACTCTGGGGGAGATGAATGACATGAGGTTCACAAGCTGTAGTACGGTTACCTTATTAAGTGTGGCTCCCTTAGCACCTTTTCAAGGGTCATGTAAACTGGGACCAACTCCAACCTTTTCTCCACACCAACGACAACCCGTAGTTCCAACCCCCGGATCCGAGAAAGTCCCTAGCCCAACCCCACCTTCCCAGTGTTCCCACGCAACGACGTTCCAAGCCTTCGTCTAACTCGTCACCGTGCCCGTCATTTTCCTTTCAGCCTCCGCGTGTGTATGTACCGAGATTTCTCCATCCCTCCTCACTTCTCCGTCCACATCCAACATACATACCTATTTCTCATCCGATTGTCGGAAAGACTCCGGTTCTATTTGAGACAACGCCACGGGCTGTGCAGCAGCAACCAGTCCCTCTTCCTCCTACTGTTTCTGGTGGCGAGTATTTATGGAATAACTGGCTGGAAATCCCAAGAGAGAGAAACAGAGAGTCGGAAACAGAGAAACGGTGACCCAGAGTGAGTGAGTGAGGGAAGTAGTAGGTACAAGGAGGATGATGAAGACTGGTCGCTGGGCTGCTGCTGCTTTTAATGCTGCTGCTCATCATCATCTATCACCATCTTCCATTCAGGGTCTCATCATAATTGCTCCTGCATAAAACATCTTTTTTTTCTCCGGTGTCAGTCAATTGCAGTACAATCGTCTGTGCGCTAGTTGTTTGTTTAGGATTCTTCCGTTTAATTCTCTATCCCTTTTTCTCCCTTTCCCTCCTCCACAAGTAGGTATTGATTCCCAAGGAACTGCAGCGGCTTCTCCCCCAGTATTCCCCCAGAAATTACCGTCCCCACACAATTCTCACACCCCTCCCCCTTCTTCCCAGTACTTGGTCCATTTGACACAAGCAATCATCAGTCTTCCCGGCTCACGGGGTCACTTGGAACCTGCCCTCCTGCTTCTGCTGGAAGTTGGCTGCAGTAGTCCCTTCTCCCCCATTCTCCTCCATCGCAGACCCTGCGAGTTCTGCTGTGCTTGTTTTCGATTCGCGCCATTGGTACATGGCCACACTATATACGTGCTGGGTACTATTAAATAAGTAAGTAAAGCACGCGCGCATAACGAGCAGCGCGCAAGAGAAAAACCCTGTAGGATTCTGGGGTCTATTCGCCCCGAAAAGACGTTTCCCCCCCTCTTCCGGTCTCCCCATATTTTTCCCACGTTTTTCGCTCTCCCGAAACCCAAAAAAGCCCCCCCGCACACTCTTGCATATTTGGCTTGTCAGATCTGTTCCCCTTCCATCTCTCCTCTCCCCCATCACAGACCTCATCCTTCTCCTTCCTCCACCTCCATCTCCGCATTCAACCTTCTCCTGCTTTTCCCTCCCATACACATATTACCTCTTACTGCCCACTACTGTCCCATCCTGTCCTCTCCCCTTTGAGAAGCCAGATCTGATACACCTTACGCTGTTTAGTACGCCTATCTTTCTCCGTATTCTGACCATCTCTCCATACAGGCAACCAAATATAAATACACTATCCACCAAAATCCTATAAACAAAAAAAAAAGGTCAAAACAGTACATAAGGCAACATACACACAGCGTACATACATACCCATTTCATTGCGTACAGTACATACAAAAGCTTTTTATTGGACTGTTCGGGGGTGAAGTAAGAAAATAATATATATATAAACACTTCGGCGAATTATGTTATTGCTCTGATCGAGTTCCGCCTCTCTTTCACTGCTCTGTCATGGCAATGGCGGAAGTTGCAGCCACTCCATCACATACCTCGGCTGCCGGGGCCACGGTTCCTGCAGTTGCAGCCAGCTCTTCTCGGTCAAAAAGTCCGCTTCTGTTCGCCTCGTCGTCTTCTACTCCACGTGCGAACCTACATACGCATCACCATCCACACTCACAGGTCAATAACGACCAACGTCAGCAACCCGTGCAGTCACAATACAACCCTACGAGTTCCCCCGGCGATGGGAGCTCATCCTCTTTCTTTTCGCATCATCAGCGACTATCCCCGCCGGGCTCGATGCTACTCTCTACATCAGGAGGGAACATACCCCGAGGTCTACCACCAATTGTTTCGCCAATGACCAGCGCAAGTCAACCAGGACCTTCGGTAAATGATCCGCGGCAACCAATTTCACCAAGAACAGTATCAATGGGGTTGAGTGACTCGGCGCAAGGATTGGATGGTATTTCTGGTGATACAGCACCGCGAAAAAGATCTAAGGTGTCGCGCGCTTGCGATGAGTGTCGTCGTAAAAAGGTTTGAATTCTGGAAGCCGCCTGCGTCACTGCGCAGCCCTGCTAAGCGATGTGTAGATACGATGCGACGCGACTTCGGAGTCAGGGGTAGAACAATGTTCGAGTTGCAAGCGAGTAGGATCGAAATGTTCATTTAGTAGGGTACCTATGAAGCGAGGGCCAAGCAAAGGGTAAGAGAGAGCACAGTCTCGCGAACTTACAATTTCCTCTCTAATCAAAGATACGTCCTAGCTACATCAAAGAATTGGCCGACAGATTAAACACCCTTGAGAATTCTATTTCTACAGGTGATCTACACTCGTACGGCTCGGGTATGACGGGTGAAGGAGACCATTCACCGGGGCCGTCCGACTCTACGTCTCCACCACCGAATGGACCCCCCAGCGCATCAAAGAGTCGAAAGCGAGCGCTCTCTTCTTCAAGCGATTTCCAAACCTCGATGCACCTCCAACCTTTATCGCAACCCACAGGTAGATCAAACGAAAGACTACCATCTATAGATTCCTTTCATCCTACAAACCAGCATCAGCATCAACAAAGAGCGCAACATCTGCAGCACGAACCCCAGCCACAGCGACAGCTGCCCCACCCCCAGCAGCAGCCCCCGCCCCCGCCCCCTCTTCCACCTCCTCTCACTCACCCGCATCAGCCGCAACCCCATCAATCGCCTCTCCAGCCTCCATCATCTACATCTGAGATGCCGTCGGGATATCGAACTATCTCTCCAACCAGTATGAGCCAATATTGGAAGGGGGGATCAGATGTTGGCGGCCGGCGCCAGAGTGTTAGTTTCCCCTTCGATGCACCCGACATGCAACGATCGGCGGCGAGTTCGACGCCAGTTGACTTGTGTGGGTTTGACTGGGATGACCAAGCTATTGATCAGTAAGTGATGTCTTAGCCGAAACGTTTAATCAGGTTGGGATCCTGTCTTAGCTTGAAGATTAACACTACATAGGTACTACGAACTCATACATCCCACCTTTCCGTTGCTATCGCACTCAAAAGACCGTTTGCATCAACGCCTAGCTAATAGCTCCCTCTCCGTCCGGGAAGCTTTCCTGGAAGCACTTTATTCTACCGTGCGAACAAACCCATCTTCAACTCTTCGGGCAAACTCACCAGTAGCGAATGCGAAGAGGGTGTGTGAATTGACTGTGGCATCTCAGTTCGAAACCCCCGCTGTGAGAACCATGCCTACAACTCTTTTGTATCTACAGACAATGATACTTATGGGCCTTGAAGCCGATAACCACGGACCGGCAACCATACATGGGCAATTTGGGCCGCCGAAAGCAGCGTGGCTTGGCGCAGCTGTGGGGTTGGCATACAACCTCAAGTTACACAACAGTCAGAGCCGAGAACAGCCTTTGGGTGGTGACCCTGACTCCGACGAAAAGCTTGGTAGACGGGCATGGGTAGTGTTATTTGTGTTGGACCGTTGGCATGCGATAAGCACTTCAAGCCCACTATTTATACCAGACTCAAGCTTCGCTTTTGTGCCTGATGATCAGAAATTGCTTGGGTTGGCCCCATACTATATTGCACGTAAGTTTAAAAATGAACATAAAAACTTGGCTACAGTTGGGTTGACCGGCCGACAGGTCTCTCCTATATTTTGGGGCATCTCGCAGAAGCATTTACTATCACAGTCGACTCGGTATCGGCGGCGCCATTCAAGCCTATTATTTCAAAAATCCTTCGTAGCGAGCTCGAGCTGTTTCGGGAAAGCGTGGATGATATATGGGGTTCCTTAAAACTTCTCCATGTAGCATACCATCATGTTAAGCTTTTAACTCTTCGACTCAATTCGGCAGAACCACATCAGCTTTTAGGCCCTGCTCAGCACATCACAGTCATGCTGGCGAATCCCCAAATACCTACCATGCCGCTCAACCATCATTTTGCTGCGCTTTCTCTCATGACTCTCATGGAGTTGAGCGAGATTCCAGAAACAAGAGATGAGGCTTGGAAAGGTATTCAGCAGCTTGCAGATACATTGGAGGATCGTAAGGGTGTTACTACCAAGGAAGACAATTTGGGATGGGATTTTACTCTCAAGGATTTGATCAATAAACGGAAACAGGAACGGTTTGGTAATTCTAATCCTGGTATGTCAGATATACCACCTCGGCATGGCAGTCTACAACATTTGGCAGAATTGGCCGTCGGCGAGAGAAGTCCAACTGGGACACCGACGAATCCACTGAATAAGCAGTTGGATACGGAGCGGCTGCAGAAGCATGGATATCTGGGTTCGATACTGTTGTAATATTTCACGGGTACACCCGAGTTTATGTGTTTGGGCGTTACGTGCGGTCGGGAGAAGGGAAAAGGCTCTGTTTATTTTTATTTTCATTTTTACAAAATCTTGGTTTTTTGCTTTAGTAATATTTTTATTCCTCCTCCTATCTTATATTGTCCTTGTTCGTTTTCTCTTTCTCCTTCTTTCTTCATCTGCATGGGAGGTTTTCTATTTTTTTTAGCTTGTCTCCTTACGTCAGGATGCACGCATTCGGGATGGAATATTTTTGGAACTTCCCATATTCTATCTATATCACCGACTTCCCGCACTTGACCTTTTAGCCACTAACCATCACTTGATATATCTATACTCACATTTCATACCTTTTCATCGAGACATGTCATGTCTTATCTCCCCTTCCCCTCGGATTCCATTTGTACTTTTCCCCCTGGAGGATCTAACGAGTGGGCAAGGCAGTCATTGTATTTTATTTTTTCCTTTGTGATTTCAGTTATACTTATGACTAGGTGAGTATTTCGGCGCAGTGGTGGGCTGGATTTGGACCGAAAAACTGAGCCTGTTGATCATTTCTTTTTGGTACTAAGTAAAGATTAAAGAAGGGAGATAATATGGGTACATGTGTTTCTGGAATCTTTGGATGTTTTTAGAGCATTTCAAGGAGGAGTCATTAGGGATAGACATGTTTTTCGAACCGACGGCCACTTGTCTCAAGTGGTTAATGCATTTCGACAGGTAAGAATTAGATAGCAGTAATCTGCATATTATCACCTAAATCTTATCCGCATCAATGCCAGTATTGAAGATGGTTATCCGAGTGAGGGTACATGATCCAGTGTTTGTTGACAACAAAACGGGAAAGATCTCCTTTCGCTACACACAAGGATTGACAGAACTGCAGAGTGTGGTTTGAGACAGGGCAGTTAAGAGATGGAAGGTCTCACATTTCATCTCAACAGCGAACCAGCATCTGACCAGCGAGAGTAGAGTATGTGGAGTACCCTTTGAACCACTGCAAGTTCCAGATCCAACAGATCCATCCAGATTGGCTAAAGTCGATCATGAGTAGGTACGTGTAGGTACCTTTCCCTGTCCTGTTGAATACTCTAGATGCGTGGTTGTTCAGATTGCAGCAGGCTAGCAGCCACTTCTTGGGCCCTCCCTCGCTATTCAATGGTTGCCCGCGGTCTGGTTTGTAGATAACCGCTTTGCTATTTCTTCTTGACTCGTGTGAGCGGTTAGGAGCTGGACATAGGTATTCGGCCCTTTTTGGCTACAGCCCCCTACCTAGAGCACATACAACACAGATAGTGTGGGTAGATTTCTTGTGATTACATACTCTCCTCTTATGGGTAGAACAAAGGTGTAAGGATACATCCTACGTCCTGTAGCTACGACTTGATTTGTCCATACAATAGGGCACTCTAGGCACCTATTTCGTACGTGAAGGTACAGCATGTATGTACCCATAAAGTGTTTAGGGGAAAACAACCGGTTGCTAGGCGGGCCGAGGTGAAATATCCCCGCAGCGGCGACGTTTACACGATCCACATCCGCGAACCTAATGTCTTTGCCTAAACACGGCTCCTGCTCTTTCCTCCACGGGTTTTTCTTCTCCCCTGTCTGTTAGCTGAGTAGGACATTGCTACTATTTAAATATTGTGAACGCATTCGATACCATGTGGATAAAACTACAATTGTAGTACGTACGTGGAGGTGCAAGTAGATAGGATACATGTAACATTGAAAGGGATATCAGGGTCCATTCCCCACATTCTGTTTGGGGGGGGGGGGGGGGCGGTTAACTTGTGTGGAGATGAGTGAAAGGTCAAGGCCGAAGAACAAGAACAAAAACAAGGGCAAGAACAAGAACTCAGAGCATCACCGTCACCTGAAGCAGGTTCAATATATATATAGAGCAAGGAAATCCACTCACCACTAGCGACCCTCGTCAGCAGATTGATTGATTTTGTCCCACCAGCAGCGGAAGGGGAGGGAAAGAAAAAAAAAAAAAAAAAGAAGGGAAGATCAGTACAGCCACAGCCACAGCATCTGCCATCTGCCATCTGCCATCTGCCATCTGCTGCTGCTGCTGCTGTCGAAGTGCTCGAATCGCTAAATCGCTTCCTTTTCCTTTGGTTTGTCTTGCCCCTCCACACGCTTTGAGGAAACGTTTTGGGTAAATGGCAAATGCAGCCTCCTTCACCAATACATACTACCTCGATACCTGTCTAGATACCAACGCCCAGCTGTTCCCCAGTATTCCCCCTCCTCCCTCACTGTAAACAGCAACCTCATCTGTTCCCCTCTTTCAGAGCCCCCTTCGATTCATCTATCTCTCCCTCATCTCCTACCCCCCCCCCCCCTCACCACCATACCCCACCACTCCCGCGCTATCTTCTTGGGGCCCCCTTTTAAGCACATCCTCGCCCCGGGAACTCGACCACGAGCACGCCAGCAACTGACGTAGGCAGAGGTGTAAGCAGCAGCAGATGACCTGGGCCTGACCTTGTTGGGCACTGTCAGTTCGGACGCCCCGCGGCGGTCAGGCACTCGTTTTCTTGTCCTCCATATCTCGACTTCTATAATTACGCTGCTCGTCCATGAAGGTGCGTGCATGAGAGAAAGAGAAGAACAAGCAACTACCAATACATACCCCAAGTGTAACTCTTATATACATGCCCTACACTATTAACTTTTTCTTTCTAATGAGCTTCCACCCGCTCAACCCTCAGCCCTTCTTTCGTATTTCCCTTAGAGCCCATTCTCTCATTCCGGCTTAGCACCCGTCTTGGTGATTGTCAGCGAGATGATCCGTGCTGATGTTTTAGCTTAGACTGCATCACGGGCACGCGACTCTAGAGGCTTCACCTCTAGCCATGGCTCACGATTGTCCATTGACCCTGATCATCATGTTACTGAAGCAATAGGGGATATGTATGGCGAGTACATAGATGAAGAAGGACGAAGACAAAGCTATATTCTACCATCGGACGCATACCCAAACTCTTCACGAGGGGCTAAGAATAGGAACAGCTCCGTGTTTTCGGCAACAGGTGCAAGCGGGTCAGGGAGAGATCGGAGTAGCGGCGGGTCTCAGGGAAACGAACTGTTACCGGGCTCACCAGCACTGGCTCACCGCTCACCGTCCCCGTCAAGGTCACCCAGTGAAACTGCAAACCAATTCTTTCCTCTTCACGACACCGACTACGAATCCGATCCGGCTGCTGTGGCTCAGGAGATAAGCAACCTCCAGGCCCTTCGTCGGATGTCTATGGACGTCACTTCCACGGCCGATCCCGACTTGCCGTCGTTCAACTCGTTTATACCATCTACACCTCCGGAAGATGGTGGTGATCCGGGAAGCGTTTTTTGGGTTCCAGCACGCCTACATCCGGAACTTGCCCCGAAGGAATTTAGTGCGTATCTGGAGGCGAAGAAGAATGAGATTCGTAGGCCACAACGGGATGGGTCTTTATCACCAGATGGGGCGGAGGTTAGTGGTGGTCCTGGACTAAGAAGGAAGAAATCAATGCTATCAAAACAAATCGATCATTCAGATGGTGCAAAAGGATACCGGGATGGAACGGAGGCACTGGGGAGGCGGCGGTCTGGAAAGGAGGGGCCGCCTCAGTTACAGCTAGAAGATCTGATGAACGATCCAAACACACTTATGCGGAAATTGAGTGTTGAGAGAAGAAACGGGGAAGGTAGGATTGCTATGGATCTTTGGATACTGGGGCCAGACTCTAATGGTTACTTAGGCGATATGCCAATATTACAAGCTCACCCAGCAGGAGCAGGGCTTCGGCGGTCAACCAGAACGACATATAGGAGAGGAAGTCTTCGAAAAGGGGAACCTTTTATGAAAAGACAAGCAAAGGCTTCAGAAACAGATACTGAGGAATATACTGCATCCTCACCTATAGTTGGGAGGCCCTCAGGGTTTGGGTTGCAAAGGGTATCAACGGAGCCTATACCTTCAATACCGTCCCATTTCTCCACCAAGAGCCAACCAGAGGGGCAATCTTCAAAGCCAACTCGTTCTGCTAACAAGAAGGTTCCGGCCACAGAACCATCCGCCAGTTCAATTGATCTATCCAATGTTTCCACACCAACACAGCCAAAACCTTCTGGTGATAGTAAGCATAAATCTGCACCACCGCCACAAAAACAAAGGAGAAGGGCTTCGTCACCAAAAGGGACAACTAGGCCCCGGACAAGTGAACCCGCGCCCCCGGTACCGCGTATTGTTGAGACACCCCCGCCATCTGAAGAACCTAAAAAGATGGTCCACCCTGAACGCCATTCTTCGCTAGATCCCCCCTCGCAAACGAACAAGCCTCCAAAACAAACACGACCAGCTATGGTAAGGACACCTGGTGGTTCTGCGGCCGATTTGTCGAATGAATCTACCCAAGCGCCGTCAACTCCAGCTCCTGCTCCAGCCCCTGCTCCCGCCTCAGCTCCAGCAACCCCACAACCAGGCAATCTCACAAAAGCCAGCCAGCTTATGATGGTTCCAGGTGCCAATACAGCGGATGACAGTAAGGATAAGAGAAGACCGGACTCTTCGGGAAGTGGAGAGTCTTCAACGAGAAAATCAAGTTGGGGATGGTTGCTAGGAGATTCAGAGCACAAGGCCAAAGATAAACACGACAGGGAGAAAGAAGAGAGAAGGGAGAAGGAAGAGAAAGATAAAGATAAAGAGAAGAGAGTGCGGAAAGAAAAACGACCTAAATCATCGGACAAGTCAACAGAGAAATCAACAAAAGACCATGATAACACTCGTCTTGATCTTCTCCAAAAGTCTATAGACCTAGGCAATACCGGAAAGGTAATAACTGCCGACCCCGTTGGGACCAAAACGGATGAAAAGGCCGATAAAGAATCTAGAAAATCCCGTGGAGAAGAAAAGAAGGACAAGGATAAGGAATCAGGGGGCATCCTTTCGTTCTTTGGGAGCTCACGAAAAAAATCTGGAGGTGATACCTCTAAATCAAAGAATGGCTCATCCAGGAATCCGTCTCCGTCTCCTTCGCGCGAGCAGCCACAGCAAAACTTCTACTACACCAGGTTTCCGATACATATTGAGCGGGCTATTTATCGGCTCTCTCATTTGAAGCTTGCAAATCCGCGGAGACCTTTACAACAACAGGTACTATTAAGTAACTTTATGTATTCGTACCTTGCAAAGGTACAGCAGACACAACCGCATCTGGTACAACAGGCTACTACTGCACCTAGTCGAGAAGCGCGCCATCGGGAGAAACAGGCCCAGGCTCTAGCCCAAGAACAGCAGAATCAACAACAGCAGAATCAACAACAGCAGAATCAACAACAGCAGCAACAGCAGCAGCAGCAAAATCACCACCAGCAGCAGCAGAGTCATCAGCAAACGGATCCGCAGGGGAATCAGTACTACCAGTACGAGGATGTAAGCTTATAAACCCTTACTGACTTCTAATGATCTGGAAAATGTATTCCTAACTTGGGTGATCGAACTTAGGCCTCTTCAAAGGGCGGAACCGACTATGTGGATGACTCACAGATGTACGAATACGAGGATAGCGGGAATGAAAGCACTGATAGTAGACCTCAATCACGAGCTTCGCGGCGTGACCGGCAAGAAAAAAGCAACGGTCACTATGATAATTCTGGATCAAATCGATCAGAACACAACAATGGGGGGAAGCATTCCCATCGAGCTGGAGGCGAGGGTTCTTCAAGCAGTCAGGACAAAATAGCAGGCAGTGATGATATGTGGTGATTGGGCTGTACCGGGCTCAGGTTGATGAGGCACGATGTTAGGGTGGCTTTTTTTTTTTGCAAACGGCTTTGCGTATGGTGGAGGTTGGTTTTTCATTATCTTTTCCGGTTCGCATATTTGTATTGTTCCGCCTGTATGGTATTGCGGCGATGGATCTCTGTACCGGCAGGCAGGTTGGTTGGTTGATAGTGGAGTTGATTGATGGGCTGGGTTCTTATTTGTGTTTGAAAGAATAAATATATCAGCTCCTGGTGCAAGAAGCGAATACCCTTTAGCTTATTTGTTTTGCTGATACTTTCTTGTTTATCTTTCTTATATTCTTTTCTTATCATTCGTTGTCTCAGCTTTGGTTCTACTACAACTTTTATTGCATTACCCCCTCGGTCTCTTGTAAACTATGTATTGCTTTGTTTGCGGTTCTCTTCTTGGGTCTGATAATTTATAGAACTTTCGGGTTTTCCACGGTAAATTGTACTTCAAAGAATTGTGTGCCAGCTTGAGCATGGCTTTACGCTGTCACTATGCTACTGCCGGGATACGAAGTTCAAATTTGGATATGGCAGGCCTTCGATTTCTTTTTAGGTGTGCTGATTTTAGTACAAGTGGCTTGACTGTATGTACGTTGCGGGGTTATGAGACAATGCTAATGCTAGTAATGAATACGAGGCCGTCGAAATAGCAATAAACATGGCACTCCAGTCTAATCATTGGCCTTGCTCGCGCAGAGGGTAGGCATGCGACTATGACATGTATGTATATGTAGCTCGATATGGGAGCAGCACAAACCAGAAGGGGATGGGATCGAGCCTGTCCAATATGTAATGAAGACATCGTTAGTTTACCGATGAAGATATCTTCACTGCATCTGGAAAAACAGCCAGAACATACAACGGCAGACTGTCAAAGAATATTGGCTATGGCGAGAAAGGATGGGGTGGGGAGACGAGGATGGAATGCGTCATGTGGTGTTTATGGTGAAGAATGCTGTGCTTTGAGGCAAACCTTATCTGGTGCTCGTATCACTCCAAGAACTGGGGGCAAGCCAATGGTATACCAGGAGGGACTGGGCGGAATCAGTGGATGATCTTCTATCCAAACTACAAAGAGTTGGCCCACTTAGTCTTGCCTACTGGTGAACCTCACTTACTTAGCACCAAGCTTCTCATCCTTGATGCCTTGATGCTCCTGGGACCCCAATTGCGACCCCCCCCCCCCCCCCAAAATCAGCAGCATGCAGGAACCCTCTCTCAAAGCTGTGACGCGCATAGATCTAAGTACTTAATTGTCCCGCGCTTCTCATTTCATCTTTGCTTTCTCTATTCCCTTCCCATGAAAGAAACGCGGCCCCTGTTGGTTCCTGAGTTTTATCCGAGAGATTAAGAGAGGTTTGATCATGATTGATTGATTGATTGATTGATTGATTGATTGATTGATTGATAAGAGAGGTTTGATCATGATAAGTGTTTCATTCTTTGATTAGTTTCATAGCCCCTGGTTGCTGTCTGGTTGTATTATTTTTACTAGGGTTGTTTCCTTTCGGCCCCTCTCTATCTCATGGCTCTTTTGGACAAAAGTGTAGCGTCTTGTAGGTAGCATAGCTTTCTTGCATCATATATTGTCACTCGGTCGCCAAGAAATCACCTCCTACACTGTTTGTAATTCTTGTCAGAGGAAAATCGGGCGTGGTGCGCATAATCAGTTTTTGTCCGCTCCTTCTTCCCTTCTGGACGCTTGGCGGGGACATTAGACCATACACTACACCATTAACACTTTTACAGAGTGTTTGTATGTGTGATGTGTATTTCAGGCTGTCGTTAAGCCCTAGTAAGTAATTATTTGAGTGGCCCAAAGCTTCGAAATCAAATAAAACATTAGATATGCTTACATGCTAGCTTGAAAGGGTATTTAGATGGTATGTGTACTGGTGAAGTGCTGAGTCAGGGCGTTCGGTTGTGTATCATGTTCATGAGCTGATTCTACTCTAGTGTTTGAGTGCTGCATGCATAACTTATAACTTGTTACTTTGTACAATCGTACCAGGAGTTACTTGCGAATACAAGCTTTCTTTTGAAATGTATATAGATTATTGAATACGTATTGAGATGGAGAACTGTAGGAACCAAGTTAGATGTAAAATCACTAGGTATCTGTTAGTTGGTCACGCTCTCTTAATGATATGTAGATAAATCCATAGTAATAGAGCTTCGCCTATCCCGGTCTTCATCACTAAAGGTACATACATGTATACATGTATATATGTATGTACTCACAAATTACATGTAGTATTTCATGCAACCTGGACACGTCAAACGTCGAGCGCACAAGCCTTTTCAATGCCTTATCTAGAACATTGGTTAACAGAAAGATCTGTTGTAGCCTTAGGAGCCTTAGAACATGCTTCTCTTGTTTATGGGTTCGTACTTCTAAGCTCCAGCACTACATGTAGCTGTGGCTAAGCATTGGCGCTTATGTAATATAAACCCGAGGCTCGGCGCCTGTTGTTTTCGTCGTTACACAAACGACAACAGCTTCCTTCTGCGACCAGAATTTTGAAGCTGTCCTCTAACCTCCGTGCAGCGTCTATTGCACCATCAACATCCTTCTGGGATTGCAAGGAGCTCTAGAAATATGACAGACACCGTTCGAATAGTAGTGTGTGGAGATGAGGGTAATTGCTTCCCCCCCCGTGAAACGAAAGAATTACTGGCTAAAGGTATTACGCAGGCACTGGGAAATCCTCGTTGATCACCTCCTTGGTTAAGGATATCTTTGTGACGAGCAAGATACAGCCGGTGCTCCCTGCAATTACTATCGGGGCCCCTGAAAACGTCACTACGACAATCGTTGATACCACAGGTATGTTCGATTTTGATAGGAAAGCCAGCCAAGCTGTCGAGGAAAGAAAAGACTGAAGCTATTATTATATAAAGCTCTTCCCCATGAGCGAAATACTCTCTCAAAAGAGATACGACGATCCAATGTCATATGCTTGGTTTACTCAGATCATTACGTCTGTCTACCTACGTCTCCCACTAGTATATAATATCATACTGATATCCTTTAGAGTTATGAGCGGGTCTCATTGTTCTGGTTGGTCTTGTTCCAGAATGTTTGGTAGTTAGTGACTTACCGTTACAACCTTCCACAGGCTTCCGTTCTTTCGTGGCCTAGGAGTGAATGTTGGTGTCAACTCCTCAAGCAATGTGAAAATTGTAGCTGATGATTTAAATAGCTTCCAGTAGTGCTTTGTGCAAACAAAAGTGACCTCTCTCCAGATGTTAACCCAGAGGAGGAAATGATGCCAATAATGCTTGAGTTCAAGGTTTGTGTCAATAAATATTGTCGTGCTGGGTGTCTAACTAATCCTACTCTAGGAAATCGACTCTTGTATTAGAGCTAGTGCAAAGGAGCAGAAAAATATTAATGAGGTCGGTTTTTAATTGAGTTGAGAAAACAATAGACGGGTTGATACTGACGTCGAATATTTTGGAATGAAGCTGTTCTACCTTTGCCAGAAGGCTGTCACTCACCCAATTGCTCCACTTTATGACACCAAAGAACAAGTGCTTTCCCATATACTATAGATGTCTATGAGTGGCGTCCTAATGTTTCATTTCATCTAGAACCTCAAACCAGCCGCAACAGCGGCTCTTCAGCGTATCTTCTGTAAGTAATGTCATCTCTCAAATACTCGAGCTCCTTATACTAAATTGCACATGTAGTCTTATGCGATAAGGACCAAGACAGCTTCTTGAATGATTTTGAAATCCAAGAGTTTCAGGTAAAAAGGATAAACCTTAATATATAATTGATGTTAATTAATCGTCTTTCTTCTGCAGAAAAAATGCTTCGATAAAACTCTAACCGATGAAGAACTAGAAGAGGTAAAGGCTGTGATCGGGAAAGCTTCTCCCAGCTCAGCAACCGATGAGGGAATATCAGAGAGAGGGTTTATCGTGCTCAACAAAACCTTTGCGGAGAAGGGAAGACATGAAACCATATGGGCTATACTTCGGACTTTCAATTACACAGATAGTTTGAGTCTGAAGGATAGCTTTTTACACCCCAAGTACGTACCTATTTATAACGACGGTCTTTTTCTCGAAGTCCTTGGCAGATATCTAACGGTTTTAGGTTTGAAGTCCCTCCCAACTCCTCTGCAGAACTATCTGCCCTAGGGTATCGCTTCTTTGTAGATTTGTTTCTTCTATTTGACAAAGATAATGATGGGGGTTTGAACGGCGATGAGTTATCTGCTCTATTTGCGCCCACACCTGGTCTTCCAGCGTCCTGGGTGGATTCCTCATTCCCTTCCTCTACTGTACGGTCCGAAGCTGGTCACATAACTCTACAAGGATGGTTAGCCCAATGGAGTATGACAACCTATCAGGATCCGAAAACGACATTGGCTTATTTGGCATATCTTGGGTTCGAGAGTGGTGAAAAAGGAGGAACAACTGCAGCATTAAAGCTTACAAAGCCGAGAAAAAAGAGGAGAAGGCAGGGGAAGGTTGAGAGGAATGTAGTTTTATGCTACGTCCTCGGAGCAAGTGGTAGTGGAAAAAGTTCAATTTTGAATGCCTTTTTGAATAGAACATTCAGTTCGACATACCACCCAACGATAAAACCGCGTACAGCGGTTAACAGTGTGGAGTTACAAGGAGGGAAGCAATGCTATTTGATCGTGAGTGTTCTTCTCATATCTCATTCTCACTCTGTCACTAACAAATACCATAGCTTGAGGAGCTCGGGGAGTTGGAGCCAGCTATTTTGGAAAACCAAGCAAAGTTGAATGCATGTGATGTTGTCTGCTACACATACGATTCTTCAGACCCCGATAGCTTTGCGCATATTGTGGATTTACGAGTAGGTTTATAGGTTGTGAATAATGTTAAAGACACTAATGGTTCTATAGAACCGATACCCAGAGCTTGATGAATTACCAGCAGTGTTTGCCGCCTTGAAAGCAGATCTAGACAAGACTACACAGAGAGCGGAAATACAGCCGGATATCTACACACGAGAAATTGGGATGCCGGCTCCACTGCATGTTAGTGCAGCGTGGACATCGATTTCTGAACTTTTTGTTACGGTTTGTCTCGAAATCACTCCAAAAGTATCCCTACTGACATTATCTCACAGATTGCGGAGGCTGCTTTGTCTCCAAATACGGCTTCTCCCCGGACAGAGCCAGAGCCAGTTGATAAAACCAATATGTATATTGCAGCAGGGGTCACAAGTATGTTTGATTCCTTACCTCTTCCCGCTGATGTCCTGTCGTAGAAATTTCTAACAGGAACACATACAGCTTGCACAATATTAACACTCCTGTTCATGTGGAGGAGATCCAACACATGATCTAATTTCTTTAAAATGGGCTCGAAATATCAATATATAAATAAATGTATGTGTATGTGCATGGTGCACTAGCATTTAATTATTCGCTCATAAGGAATATTTCTGGTTTTGAAGAGATAATTCGTGTGAAATCTCTTAGCCTTGTACCTTGGTGGGCAGCTGGGAAATGTCTCGCCGGATGTCTACATATATCTAAATTATGTACATATATAGCTTGATAAGAAGTTATTATCCCTTAAGCTGTCGCGAAAATGCTGACCCACCAAAAAAGAGAAGCAAACTTGGTGTGTGGCTTTACTAACAGATCTAGCTATCTCTCTTATCAAATAATAGATCTCTCATACAAATCTAATTCCTCTGTTATAGGGGGGTCAGCATTTATTGGCTGGTCTACATCCGGTTTTTATATGCAAGTGAGCTGCAGGGTAAATAAGGGAGTTGTGGCGCTCGAAGGTAGCATTCTCGGAATATTAGATATCAATAGAAGCCCTAGGACCGTAGTGCCCCGAATATCGGAGACAGAGGGGTCGCCTGTAGAATTATAAAGTTGCATATTCAGCAACCAATTAGTACTGGCTGGCAATTCTATGAATCATGTGATCCCATATTAGCGTGGAGCCTTGAGTATCCAGCGCGTAGCCTTCAGAATGATAGGTGAAATGAAGGTCGACATCACCAGTACATAGTTAATTCAACACCACTTCATCAATTCTGATTCAGCACTTCACTGAATTGGTACTTCATAGAGTCTGACTTGGTACTTTCTAGAGCCTGATTTGGTACTAATCATGGAGTGTGATTCGGTTAGAAAGTAGAGGTATTTACTATCTCAATAACAGGGACATACGGGGCAAGCCCTAATATATAGATATAGTCGATATTAGATTTACCACAATTTTATAATTCAGAAACGACAAGTGAGCGTTCATTAGCTAGTGGTGTCGCGTAAAATCAAATGTTTAACTAGGCGATGGCCTTGATGTCTCAGAGGACCCGTGACATATTTTCTCGCGGTTGAAGTCGTCGTTGATGCAAGCTGTCAGGCACAATTGGAGGTTGCTTACAGCCGCAATGCACCCTGGTTATGCACTCCACAACCCCACGAACTAGCATGCCCAGGTATCTTGGTGAGACCACACCATCTTCTTTCCCCGACCTCTTCCCCGACCTTTTAATCTCTTCCTACGATTCCCCCTTCTTGTTTTTTTCATCTCCAATTTATAATCCTACTTACAAACCCAAATTTTGATACTTGATAACTATAGCTACTAAACAATCCTAAGTCTAGCTCGATGTTCGTGTTACCTCCTCCTCCTCCGCGGTACCCAGGTACTGCTGGTGCTGGTCCATGGGGTACAGGAATTCCTGGATCTATGCCGGTGATTGAGACAAATAATACCATTTCGTATCCAAAAGGCCCAGAGCACCGATTTTCTGTTGGTGAAGGTTCGCAACGTCGCCCCAAAGTCCGGACATAGGCCCGGACATAGGCTTCATGGACACCGTCGCTAATAAAAGGGCTATAGGGACATACGTATTGAAGGAAGATATATTTCTTGCGACGCCCCCTCCTCATCCTTCTGAAGCTCCCGTCACCAATCTGAATCCTTTGAGCACTGCGCCGCAACCTACAGTAGCTGGTACAAAGCTCTCACTTGTGTCTCTTAAATATCGCAGCTCACCGCATCCCTACCGCAGCCAAACATTTTCTCCTGGCAAAGAAAATCAAGAGAGCGATTCAAGAACATCTGCCGAAACTGATGATCAAAGTTCTCTTGGGAAGGCGGCTTCGGGGAGCAGTGCATCTAAGAATGGGGATACTGTGATACCAATGCACCCCGAGAAATTTGGAGGAGGAAATTCATCCTTATCGGCGGCTACTGGGAAAGATGCAGCAAAGAGAAAGAAACCGAAAAACAATATCGCAAAAAACAACTCATCTTTCGTCTCAAGAATCATTCCACACGAAAACCTAGCCAAGAGGCTTGCAGAGAGGAATGATGAAGATCTGTTCGTTTTCGCAAATATCAATAGGGCTTTCAACTGGTTAGATATGGATTCTACGAATAAGGTTCAAGAGTTTTACCTTACCATAAATTTCAAAAATCGAAGACTTATATCTTATGTTTTCTATAGCAAGAACCCTTGTCAAAGATCCTTTTCACCAAGGCACATCCAATTTGCCATGATGTCAACCAGCTCACCAGGAGTTCCAGTCATTTAGACGTGATTATTGGTTTCTCTACTGGGGATATAATTTGGTTTGATCCAATGTCAAACAAATACGCGAGGCTGAACAAGAATGTAGATTTTCTTCACCTCTTGGGGAAAAAAAAAAGAATCCGAGACACTTGGCTAACTGGATACAACTTTCATGGGTTAGGGGATGATAAATTCACATGCCGTTACTGATATCAAATGGCTGCCGGGGTCAGAAAATCTATTTTTGGCCGCACATCAAGATGGTTCTTTGATAGTTTACGATAAAGAGAAAGAGGATGCGTTATTTGTGCCTGAAGACGCGCCAGACGCGTTCGGAGTGGCAGAAGACGCTGCGCCAACTAGTGGAACTGCGAACCTTATGAAGTACTTTGCAGTAAAAAAGTCCGTCAAGTCAAAAAACCAGCGGACCAATCCTGTATCATACTGGTCAGTATCCAAGAGTGCAGTCACGGCTTTCTCATTTTCGCCAGATTGTGAACATATTGCAGTGGTTTCAGAAGATCAATGTTTACGAGTCATCAACTTCGTAAAAGAAAAGTAGGCTCCACTATCACAATCTTCATTGGTAAGATCACGATGTTTACATGGTGCAGGTTATTGGATGTGTACAGCAGTTACTATGGTGGCTTAATGTGCGTTTGTTGGTCTCCGGATGGGAAGTATGTGGTGACAGGGGGTCAGGACGACCTAGTTTCTATCTGGTCCTTCAACGAGCGCCGCATTGTTGCACGCTGTGAAGGACACCACTCCTGGGTTTCCAGTGTCGCATTTGACCCCTGGCGGTGCGATGACCGTACATATAGGTTTGGAAGTGTTGGCAACGATTGTAGGTTGCTACTGTGGGATTTCAGCGTTGCAATGCTCCACAAGCCAAAAGCGGTACGGCCCTTATTTTAACTATCGTTTTATCGTAACCGTGAGAGATTTAACCCCTCTTATTTGAGGGCTTTCCGGTATTCTGACATGAAGTCCTGACGTCTGTGGCTTTGATATATAGGCAGCCGCTCAGCAACACCGAGGAAGCATGTCGTCGCATAATCATCAGTATCCCACTGGTAGGATGCAGGCAGAAAGCTTATCAGGCAGTAGATTGAGATCAGATTCGAATATTGCTGCCTCAGTTCACGTTCATGATGAAAATGGTGACGGAATCGCAGTGCATGATGTCCAAGAGCGTGCACGGACTGCCGTTTTGCCGCCGATCATGGTAAGTCCAAGCCCTTATCCTTATCGCAGAGTTTTTCCGAAGCTAGGCACCCGCCTAGCTGAAACTCGGGTTTTCCGTGCATAGCGTCCATAAGGATGGGTAGGCTCACCGCACACAGTCAAAAGTGATCGATCCGGAACATCTCACCCAAGTTATTTTCCGGGAAGACTCAATCATAACAACATGCGTAGACGGTAAGCAACCAGTCTTTCCTTAACCCAGTATCTCGGCTCCAAATCTGTCTCGATTAGAGCTACAGGGATCTTTGACATCAGTAACCGAACTTGTTTGCAAAGAGGAGTTCCTTGGAAGGCTAATTTTTTGCGCGATAAAAATTTTTCTTTGGGAAACGAATAGGCCACTTGAAGACTTGGAATAGACCACATATCAATCAGGATAGCAACGGCAGCGAGGTGACTCTTTCCGCCGCCGGGAGTTGATTTCGGTGTCCTTGCGATTTCTGAATATTTTTTCCCTGCTATTTTCCTCCACTTGTTTTCAAATTTCGTCCAGTTTTCGTTTTTGTAGTTGGCATCATTTCGAAAAAAAGTTGTCACAATATGGCATAATATGGAAGATCTATCTATGTGCCCATAGCTTTTTCTAGAAAATCTGTTGCAGATTGATCGTCCCACAAAGCATATCGGCTAAAAATTGCTCTATGGTGGGTCATTAATAAAATCAGATGATATAAATCTAAGTTTTGCAACGAGGGGGAGGGGATTTTGGACATCGCCCATCAGCTGAGTTTCGACCAATTCTCGCTGCAGAAGGGCGATCCGGCGATAGCATCTCGACCATGGGTCAACCAAGACCCAACGTCTTTGTGGCGCTAAGGGTTCCAAAGCGAGAGACCGCGAGAACCAAGTGGGGCTATCTGAATCAGTTTGATAGGTCTCTACGCCTGCAGCGCTACTCAAAACTCGTGGTTCATTCTTCGATTTCCACTTGCTGCTTTGTGTTCCTGAGATAAACGCCCAAACAAGCAACTACATGTAGTCAAGATGTCGAGTGTGGGGGTCACAGATTTCGATGGAGGCCAGATGCGGTAGACCTTTGCGTGGGCAGACAACCGCAGGAAAAGGCAGGGTGAGAAAGGAGACCCACCTGGGCCTTTTGTTAACAGTTCTAGGAAATATTAGGCTGAATCTGTGAAGGTGGAATGGATGTGTGAGTGAGATATATATCGCAATTGGAACATACTGCTCACTCTAGGTACTTTGCATGGTGCGTACAAGTAAGAGGTAAAGTACATATGTGTACAGTATGAGTAGGTACACGATGGGAGCTCTGAGGATACCAAGAATAATAATGATAATGCATGTGCTGTGTATTATTACAATGTGGTTGTCTATATAGGTAGGTGCAGATGTAGCAGATGTCGCATGAGCTCGGGGTGGATATTCCGAGAAGGAAAGACGGTGCCTGGCGTGTGCCTTACAGGTGCGTGGGCAGGGAATCAGGAGTAAAGTAAGCCCTTGTGCACACAGCCAACAGAGTGCTGAGAGATTCGAGGGCAGGGAGTGTTTGAAGGGGAACGAATCTCAACCTATGATTCCACCAAACACCCTTGGACCGTAGAGCAACTTGCAGGAGTTCTGCAATGTACGGTGCGGCAGTAGAGGCGGCAACTAGACAACTTTATTCCTGGGTTGTGCCTTGGAAGCCTTGGACTTACCTGCCTGATGTCCTTCGGAAGGACTATTTATTACTTGCACTCGTTAAGATTAGCGTTGCCGGAGCTAGATCCCGGGCAGCGGCGGCGGCGCGTCACTTGGATGCCGGGTTCTTTTATTCTTTGTTGTTGCTGCTGCTGGGCTGGTGGGGCGTATTACGGACCTACCGAGCAAGCTGCTGTTGGTGGATGGTGGATACTGGAAAACAGAAAGACGAGCGAGATCGCGGTCAACGGACGGCGAGATGCGATGGTACATACAATCGATAGTACGATACCTAGCTTAGACAGTGTACTTACTCAAAGGGCTCGTGCAATAACTGCAGGGGCGAATGGAGGAAGACGGAGACCCTACCCTCATGGACGGGCCGGGGGTTTATGAAGAGTCCCGCACTGCTCGTCCGTTTATTTTTCTTCCGCAGTTTCGCTCACTCTGCCTCACTCGCCCGATCAGATCTTCCATCCCATGATAGATAGCCTCCTTCTCCTCCTCCGTGTGTACGGCAATTTATTCACGCATTCGTCCCAACAAAGACTGCTCAGCTGAACCTCCCAGTTACATTCCTGCAGAATCACTAGCTACATTGCAAGTCGAACAGGGCCTTGTGTTCCTTCAAAAGCCTCGCCGAGCCCACTACTTATCGAGTTTTTCTGAGACCTATTACTCTAAGCTATCCTATTGACTCAACCTGATCCTCGTGCGCCCTCAAAACACACTCTCAACATGCCTCTTTTACAACGGAACCATAGCCATACGATTCCGTATTGCGACATCAGGTATGACTTTCTGCCTTTTTTTCTTTTTTTTCCCTGTTGCAACTATTGATTGTGCACTTTGCACGTGCTTCTAAAGTACCTTCCTAACATGAAATTTCAATAGGCTTGACGAAGATGTGATCGTTTTACGAGGACCTCCGTCTGAATCTGCCGGCGCTCTACTTAAAGGAAAATTGGCTTTCTGTCTAACAGAACAGATACCTGTTCGTGGAATAACGTTGACTTTGGTTGGGATGAAGCGTTTACAGTATGTGGCGAAGCTCTTTAACCCAAAGAGGGGAAAGTAAATCATAAAAAGGCTAACGAAGCTCTTTGCGCAAACTCTAGTTGGCAAGAAAGGATGTCTACAGTAACTGGAATTACAATGAAAACCGTCAAGCATGAGGAGCTCGTTTACGAGAAGAAATGGCAGTTTTTAGAATTCGACCATAAACATGCTGTGACTCTTAGGCCAGACAACTACGAGTATGAGTTTGACGTAGCGTTACCTGGAGGTAAGCAAGCCTTTCCCTTTCGGCCATGTATCCGGGCGGCGGCATTAACTGGGCATTGTTGTGTCACACAGATCTGCCCGAGTCGATCGAAGGACTGGAGAATGCGCACATATTTTATCGGCTAAAGGCCGTTATTGACAGGCCGAGGTTTTCACAGAACATCGTTGCTAAAAAGGTATTGACTCCGTCCCGGTGACTATATCGTGTATTTTATTGACTGGGAAGTATTAGCACGTGAGAGTTGTCAGAACCCTAAATGCCGGCGCTTTGGAACTGTCGCAAACCATGTCTGTGGAAAATCTTTGGCCGAACAAAGTCGAATACTCTATTAGCATTCCGAATAAGGCAGTTGTCTTCGGCAGTTCTATTCCTGTCGATATTGTCCTCATACCACTTCTTAAAGGCTTGTCCGTTGGTAAAGTGACATGCAGTCTAAAAGAATTGCATAATTTCTCAATACCACACAAGGAAAACACCAGGTCAGATATGAGATCGATCATCACGCAAACCTTTGAAGGCGGAGATATGGTGCAGGAACCGCATGAGGATGAGGATTTTGGGAGATGGAATTTACATCAGCGCGTAGAGCTGCCGAAGACCCTCGCAAGGTGTGTACAGGATTGTGAGGTCGAGTCTATTAAAGTGCGACATAAGTAAGTACCGAAAATCCGAAAATCCGAAATTCATTGTTGTATAATTCTTGCTGACGATTGTATTAGGCTCAAGTTCACTATTCAACTTCATAATCCTGATGGGCACACCTCCGAACTCCGCGCCTCGCTACCTGTCATGTTATTTATCTCACCAAACTTACTCATGGCTGAAGATAATGTCATTCATGACATCGCTTCTATGGAGGATAGCGAGGACATTCATGGAGCTTATGCGCCCCCTCGTTATGACGACCATTACCTCGACCGGTTGTATGAAGGAATTCCTCATGATCGCTTCGAGACACCACTTCCATCTGGCGCAAACACACCCGCAGTACTATCTCGGAGCAATTCACATGAAAATCTAGCAGCGCTCTCGATTATGGATTCTGGAAGAATGTCAGGAACTGCCAGCCCACTACGGATTCCAGATGCTAGTTCAGGGAGGTGGTCTGTCAATAGATCCAGAGTAACCACTCCCGGTTTCTCATCGCCGCCTACAGCAGCTAGTGGGTTTTCCGATGCCGAGCTTGTTGCTAGGCTAAGTGGCCACCATCAAGGCGGTGACTACTTTTCAAGTAGAACAGGAAGGTCTACGACAAGTGGGCCTAGCACCCGATCTCATTCGCCCGAAGACCACTCACGCGGTGAAGAGGAAGAATTGGATCTCAATGAACTATCTAAAGTCCCTTCATATACTACTGCCGTGCGACAAGGCATAAGGAATCTTTCTACACGTTCCAATCTTCCTCAATATGAAGACGGGACTAGGAGCAATCCTGAGAGCACAACAAACACTCCCAGACACAGTCCTCCGACGTCGTATACGATGCCCGTTGTGAACCCAGGGAGGGGCGGTCACGAAGGAAGGGGGTCGAGACTTTGGGGAAGAAGTTTAACCACAAATGACGTACATAACACTGTTGAGACCAATGTGGGGCACGGACACGGGCACGGATTTACTGGAGGATTGAGCGGAATAAGTGCTGGTCTCGCTGATGCCGAGAGGAGGATCAGACTACTTCAGTTGAGGGGACGATGATACGAGAACGAGACGAAGTTTGTGGGGTATATCTTATGATTGAGCGATTGCAACAGCAGTAACATAATAACGATCTTTTTTTTTATTTCTTTCTGTTTTGGGTAGAGGATTGGCGTTGGGGTTATTTTCATTGTTATTGTAGATTAGATAGCATTACTTTCTTTCTATTTCTTTCCTTCTATACCTCCTCTCACTTTGTCTCATAAACATGTATATGATATCCTTATAACATCTTGATATTATTCCGCCCTGGGCAGTTACTTTTCCATCTCTTACCGGTACCTTTGGCAGGACTAGTGGTGTGGGCGGAGTTTTAATTTTTATATGCCTTGCTTTTATTTGACAGGTCTACCCGTTAATATTGGTGCAAAAACCTATTAGTACACACACCTTAAATCGATCTCAGTACATGTACTTAAGTAGGCAAGCACTTGCGGGTGTTTTTTAAATTTTCCCTGTCAACTGCTGGGGGCCTAAAAGATCAAGCGAATTTGAAAACAAGATTAGTATGCAAACAATTGAACTTACCAAGTTACTGGTTACTGGCTCGGGAAAAATTTAAGCATCTACCCAAAGATACCCAAGTAAAGGGTCCACGACTATTGAGCGCGGGTAAACATTTAACCGCCGTCAAGTTGAATGAGATGGGCTGATTAAGTTGGTATTAGCGGGGTACCGTACTAACCACTACCGGATTAGAAGTTGGTTGGTTCGTTGTGGTCTGATATGCGCGAGTGATCCAACATGAAGCGTTGGCACGACCAGTGAGTGGCCTGAGGTTCTTGCGCATGTCATGTTAGCAACAACAAGACAACCTCAGACGATGTTTTTTTTTTTTTTAGCGAGAAACGAAATCTCCGTTCGGGCCGCGAGCGCTTCGATCCAAGATCTTCACGTTCGCATCATCCGATTCGAGCTGTCAAAAAGGCTTCATTCTCAATAGAACTTGGTAGGTTATATATACGTGGCTGATCTTGGCATCATCTACAAAGTATCTTGAGGGAGAAACCTAGAAATTTAGGCACAGAATAATACGTATCTGTCGAAATGTGCAGCTACTAACACTGATGTTTATGTTCGAATTTTGTTACCTTCGCTACGAGTTATCAGAAACCGTAAAGAGTATCTTGTAGGAAACGACCAGCACATGCGGGGAAGACATTCCGGTCAACACCAGTATATCACTATAGTACAACGCCTCACGAGACAAGTACTGTACTTTAGATAACGGGCGAGCACATATATGTACTTGTTATAGCACCTGAGAGCTCGGCACACAATAGCCCGGCTAACCAGTGAGTCTCAAAACTGCGACAAGTTGGTTGTGATTACTGGGCATATGAAGTGCCTAAAATTTCACTTATCTGGTACATAAAGGTACATAAACACGGAAGCATGAAGAAAGCAAAGATCACGTATTGGGGTATTCCTTGCTGGCGTGATGTTGATCGTTTTTGCGTGGGGGCCAATGACGCCACAATAGATCCAGACGAGCCATTGGTGAGGTTGGTTTAGTGGCCGATAGCCACGGTCTTGGCATCCACGAAACGGGCAACATTTAGTACAATACCATGGACTAGCTGCATGGTAATGGCCAATCATGGTGTGTGGCTGGAGTACGTCTCTGTCCTTGATGCCCTATCAAGATTTAAACAACATAACGACATGTATGTACTCTACATGTAGTTACGTCAACTTACTTTTTCGGAGGCTGGTGCATCTAATTTAACCTACAAAGTCTACTCGATACGTACTATCCTAAGAACATTCAATAGTGACACATGAGAATATCAAGAGCACTTTATCCCGAGATAGCTAAAGATAAGACAGTAAACTAGACAAAAACAACTGGCCCCGAGACACTAGAACCTGGGGAGATGAAGGCTTTGAACCTTTTGGTACTTACATAATAATTTTCTATTTTCAAATGATTCTAATCGAGAACCCGCCGAGAATCGCTATACTTGTAGATCAGTGGACAAGGTCACTGAGGCCCGGGGACAGAATGGTAAGTAGCATGTGATAAATTTTGATGTCGATATTCTGATCATGAGTAGTAAATACAAATATATTGTTCGCAGCTCCAACCCTAGTAACATACACGTACCAACCCTGCCGCCCCGCCACGAACCACACTTTGTGGTCTTCGTAGTCTTCCATGGCCCGTATCCCTTGGACTGATGAAACTCTACATACAAGTAAGGCTAGTTGACTTGGCATTAACGGCCAGTAAGTGTCACCTCACTGGATCAAGTTGAGAGTTTGAGAGCTTCATAAGTGCCCCCCCCCCAAAAAAAAACCCACTATCTTCTTCTTTGTGGCACTATCTGGAGCTCCTCATTATACTGCAGTTTATTTTTATTTTGTCCAAAAGCCCCGTCTCCAGGATTTAGTACCTACTGCTGAGACAATCTATGTAGGGTTAGGGTTAGTTATAGCCTAATATTACTGTTTTCAAAAGGTAAGAACCAATTGATATTAACTAACTAGTTGCCAGTAAGTTTGCCAGGCCCCGAATGTCACTCTTATTGGGGTAATACATGTACTTCTACTTTCTAACTGAATCATACTCCATGATTATTACCAAATCAGGCCTAGGCTCTAAAAGTACCAAGTCAGTGAAGTACCAAATCAGAATCGAGGTTAGATACGCGTTGGATACATACTCAAAGCTCTATGCCAATATGGGATCACATGATTCATAGGATCGTCAGCCAGCACTATATACTAATTGGTCGCTGAATAATTACGTATTTAAACTACACTTATATGGGCAACTTTATACAATTCTACAGGCGACCCCTCTATCTCCAACATTCGGGGCACTGCCTCCTCCTCCCTTCTTCTTCTTCTATTAGTCGTATCTAATATTTTAATGAATTAGAAAAACTTAATCAATCAATGCTATTACCTCTAGACCATAAAACCCTCCCAGTGGGCCCTTGAAACCCATATGGCCTCATTGCTAGCGCTATATAGCTAGCTATATCTTCTTGAGATATTATATTCTGCGATTTTTTACCGTGCTACTGACAGTTTGATAAATAGAAAGGGCTAATCACAGATCACATTGACCTTTTTACCAGAGGGTTTCAAAACCCAAGATATTGGGGAAATATTGTAGTATACGTATCTGGGTGAATATTTCGAAACTGGTTTTGCAAATTCGTTTTAACAGTTTTTTTCCCGGTGAGTAGCTGTTATAGAAAAACTCTTGTAGCTTTCTTCTATAAAGTCGTCGTACCTTGACACCTGCACCACACGGTCCAGAAGATCCAAGACAAATCCCAGAGAATATCCAACACTGATCTTCAAGCGAGGGTGTTCGGTTTAGGTAGCCAAGGGGCCGAGGCCTAGGATAGCTTTCTGAACTCCAATTAGAGGTCGTTACTAAGGTACTATAGTGTATGAATGTTTATAGTTAGTAAATAATAATTCAATCGCTGAAATATGGAGGTTTCAAGTCAACTACCAGCCTTTTTAGGCGTAGTTATGGTAAGCCGCCCGGTTTATCTGACGATTAAGAAGACCTTTATATTTGTACGCGTACAACCAGTTCTAATGGCTACCTTTGGTTTTCGTAATTGATCTTTGGACTAGTGTGATAACTATCAATAGGCAGGGGACTGAAAACGTACGGGTGCTGGGGGTTTAAATTGTGTTGTTTTGAATACATGTATCTAGGGACGTAGGGTCCAAGCACCGCCTCATCCAAAGGGTTGATTAAGAGCCCCGGCACTAACTAATCCAGGGGCCTAACACGTTTTGATTTGATTGATCTGATTGAATAATAATCAATATGAAGTTTCCGAGTGTTGAATCCAAGGCCCAGGGCTCGGATCGCTTGATTGCCATGCATTCCCATACATTTTCTCCATAGTAAGCCCCTACTCCTGAAGTCCTATCGAGTGATCATGCAAGGTGAGAATCATGACCAGAAATTTTTGCTGTTTTCGAGTTCAAAAAACGTGGAATAACAAATAAGACTTCAAGGAAATCGGTGTATGATCTGGTTCATTGGGCAAGCCTCATCGTCACCGCAAGCGTCATTGTTTTGATGATCGAAGCTACGTCAGGGTTGAAGGGTCCAGTGGGACTGCATGCAGGTGACGATAGGCGATAGGCGAGTGCATAGATCAGGCTCCCTGGTCCAGTCCGCAAAAGCCTTGGCGCGACATATGATATATTCCCCGCGTCGGGACCTCACATTTGGAGCTTTCAACAATAAATCCAATCACCACAACAGAATATACAGTTTTCATCACAATTCGTTCACTAAGGCTCAGTCCATCCATAAATACCTATAATAACAAGAACAAACAATGCTAGGTCTAGGTAAAAAGGAAAAGGCACCGATTGCTGAACCGGTGGCCGAACAGGCCCCCCCGCGGCATGACACTATCAATTCGGTAGCTTCAACAGATGCAGTTCCAGCTGAGAAGGGTGATATCGGTGCATTGTTTGTAGAGAGACTACAAGCCTGGAAACATGCTGTCGGATACCTAGAGGCATATGTCGAATCTACAGAAAAGGTCCACAAGGAGCTTTCAAAGGAATACGAGAAGGTGTTGAAGGTAGGCTTCGCGTTTTATCCAATTTCAGAATTAAAAGTCTTGCTAACCACTTCTAGACCGTTTCTGAGCCACTGAGGGAGGGAAGACATTTCGGTATTTAAAACATAGGCTCCAGAATTTGGTAGGTGCCAGTGGCTAATTTCTGGCATGAGTACAGACCAAGAAGTTGGAGGCGTTGCTAGCTTTTTCGAAAACATCCGCACAAACACCCAGGCAATATCTCACTCTCATACCGAAACTGAAAAGGCTCTAAAGCTTGCGGTCCTCCCGATATTAGAAGGACTTCACCGCGAAATCAAAGAAAGGGCCAAAGCAATACGTACCGCCGCTGAGAAGGGCTTAAAAGCTGTCTCAAAAGCGCGAAATCACACTCAAACCCACATTGAGCTTCTGGGACAACATGCCTCTTCTTTTGACTCTGTTGGCTCTCACGCGCAACCTGCCAGTGGTGGGATGCATATCCATATCCCGGGAACCCACAATCATAATTCCAGTGGTAAACCAAAACCTGACAGTGATCCCTATGTCCTCAAGAGAGGTATCCTGCACAGGCTTCATAAGCAGGTTCTTGAAGAGAATGCTAATCGCCAAGAGCTCCTCTCTATACAAAACACCATGCAGCAGTTCGAGTCCCATATTCTACAAACTGTCCAACAGGCCATGGCAGAATTTTATAAGCATGTTGGGAATCAAGCAGATAAGCAAAAGGCGCTATACGGCGATATAGTTGGTACGTTGACCGCAATACCCTACTACTATAGTTAGAGGCCCACAATTAATCATCATGATAGGAGCTGTTCAGAAACTTCCGTTAGATTTCGAATGGAACGGTTTTATGAAAAGGGAGAGTGATGTTCTGATAGATCCTAGTGCCCCATCCAGATCAGTGGATCAGATTCAATTTGCCAATATGGACCACAAGAGCACCAAGGCGTTGATAGAAGGACCCTTACAGAGGAAGGGGAAGATCATGAGAAGCTACAGCACTGGTTACTATGTCGTCACTCCGAGCAAGTATCTACATGAGTTCAAGGATAACGATGTAGGTGCTCAGTTCAAACGTAGCACAACCACTCTAGATAGACTAATTTTGTAAACGTGAAACAGAACTTCAACAAGGAGCCGGAACCGGAGACAAGTCTTTACTTACCTGACTGCACCGTCGGCGCTTTGTCTAAAGAACCCGATGGTAAATTCATCATCTCTGGAAAGGAAACTGGTGGAGCTTTGAAGGTAACATCTATATTTATCGCTTGAGTAACATCGATGCTTACTACTATCACCGGTTGAATAGGGGTTTACCAAGCATGACTTTGCTTTCAAAGCTACCTCACACGCCGAGGTATTTCCATCTCTATCTTCGAGAATAGAGTGTTAATCCAATAAAAATTAAACCGCTAACTTGCCTATCTAGGCCGCCAAATGGCATGGAATTATTTCTCAATGCGCCGGTCTAACAACTAATGAGACACCGATTACGAGCCCTGCCTCACCCACCGCTGTAGGCACTACTGACGAAATGACCGGTATGCCACCACCAACTTATTCTCGCACAAGCTCGCAAGAAACGGGTACCACAAAAACTATAGACTTGCCTGTCATGAGTGGGGCCGGTGCTGGGTCTGGCGCTGGAGCTGGATCTGCTGCCGCAGATGTACCAATCGCTCCGGTAGCTGCAAAATCTTGATTGAGGCATCGGCAAATAATATATTCAAAGGCTAGCTACGTTGTCTACATTAGGGACATTTTGGCAGTATATGATGGGGGCCCCTGGAAATCCAGACTACATATGTAAGCAATGTTATGATACAATATCTAATTTTAAATAATCTTACGACTTAAATAGATACAATCTCATATCTCAGGTCTTTCCTTATACTTCATAGACATATATTTAGGGAGGAAAGGAGCATTTAAATAATAACTATGACCGTAGCTTCTCAGGTTCAGGATTCTAACCAGAAAGGGCACACATTATCCAATCTAAACTGCACTGAGTTTCAGTGCTGTACCACCCGCAGCGTAATTAATGTTTTGCCACATTCAATGTTTCATACCATTCAGCAATGATTTTTTAGTGGTTTGTGAATCGGCTCGAGCTGAGATTATCACGTGGCGTGAACCTGCTCGAGGTCGAAACTCCTAACATACCGGATTATCTGATTTCGAGGCAATACAAAATGCCATAATGGGCCAGCTTTTAGACCTCGAATTGACCCGGCCCATCAAATCCAGCTGCGAAGACTGGAGATATAAGCTGCAGCCAAAGCTCGAGTTGACTTGTTCCGTGAACCACACTAACATTGTCATTGCCATTCTAATTCATATTAATTCACCAATTGCTTTTATACCTATGCCGATTCGATAGTCTCTACCGCTTACCTTAGTGAAAGCGCTATCTACTAACCGGTCTAGTAACTGGTGGCCGGAAACCATATGCTAGATCAAGATATTACGAGGGAGTCTGATGACGGCGTGGACTTTGTACTATTCCAAATAGCTGGCCCTGCTACGCATATATTAATCAAGGCCGAGTCTTAGTTACCTCTAACTACTCTACGTGTATACGGGCCTTTGCATGTGCACGCGGGGAGGTGGTGTTGGTTGCAACGTGTCTGTTCGAATGCTAGCTGATTGTCCATAGGAATGGACGAAAGACACACTTTGATATATCGGGAATAGACCCGCTTTCCTACCAGCAAGCCTGAAAGCCAAACATCACTGTTTGCCAGATGTCTACGAAATATAGGAATTACTTATAGTGCCATTTACTCCGGTATACCGAATAGTTCCACTACGGCCTAGGATTTCTCTCCGTCCTACGATAATCTTTGAATCTTCTACAATGGCCTAGAACGGTTGCTATCATGTAGATTTGGAAGTTAGTTCGTTTGCGAGCCACGAGTGATCTTCCATGATACAACGCCCAATTGGGATGCTATAATTCGGCATATATCGACAAGCACTTGTAACCAGCCCGAGTGATGACTACACCATATATGCCTTACTTCTTACCCTGGGAGCGGCCGGGAAAATAATATTAAAGAACAAACTCAAATTCCTTGTATGTATATATGTATACGGTTAACTCTACTCAGTTGGGGCGCCGTACTCCTGGTCGAGGGATGTTAGCAGATTGTAGAGGAAGAATGCCACCACAGGTTAGCTGTGTAGATTCCTGAAAGTCCCGAAGGAGGTGGAGAAATGATATTTTCTCTTGGTATAGGATCATCTATTATGTGAGTCTACTTCGATACTTACATACAATCCATAAGCTATCCTAACGATATCCAGACCAGATAATACCTGGTACTGGAAGGAGTGTGATCATTGACTAGCATTTATAATTATTTCTGCGCCAGCTCCCGTTGTAGGCAATTCGCTAAACGATGTGCACATCCAGGACAGCGCTCATTCCACCCTTCACTGTCTCGATCGCCTCCACTAGTAACTTCTCCATTTCTTCAATATTATGGGCAGTTCCCGCCCAAACCTGGCCACCTGCTGCCGCTTTCGCAATTCCAGCCTATTGATATCGCTGTCAGTATCATGGTACTCTGAACGAAGCATTCATAAAAACATACATAATCTGGTGAAGGCCTGAAAGAAATGTTCAGCTCTTCATTGGTTGCATGAGCTGCATAGCCATCGGGATGTACGAGCTTTGCAGACCGCAGGGGGGCGTGCCAGCCGTCATTGTTCAGTACAATGGTCAAAAAGGGGATATTGTAACGGCGAGAAATCCAATATACTGATGCTGGTACAGCAAATAGGAACGTTCCGTCACCAACGACGGCGGCAACGAATTTACCGGAGTTGTTTTTACCGTTATCGAGTCCCAACTTTGCTCCAATTGCTGCGCCTCCAAACCACCCAACTGTTGATAAGTCAGCATTGCTCATCATATACTCGAGTTCAAAGCAATGAATAACTTACGTCCACCTGCGCCTGAGCCTATGATGCTACCCGGCTCTACGCATTGCAGCTGATTTGCCACAGCTACTGTTTGAGTAACCGCTTCTAGGAGTACAACTGCATCCTTAGGCATGATTTCTCTCATGCGCTTTGTCATATATGCCGCCGAAACCATGCCATCCTCTCT